TTATTTTAAGGGTTATTATAAATTATTGCAGGTGTTTTTAATATTATATTATCATGATATTTTCATTCTGTAACAACATCCTGAAGAATGTCATAAACATTGAAGAGCAAAAAAACGTGTTTTATGTAATGATTGTGAAAAGCTTATAGCTTCTGCCTGTGGACATTGTAAAAAACATTCTAAAGTATATTATGTCATGCAATTTTATGTTTGACAACTTCAGATACTTGAAGATCATTTTATAAAGTATCAATAATTTGAAGAATTGTCTAAAGGCTTATAAGGCAATAGACACTTTGTGTTATTTTTTTGGAATAAAAATTTATCTATACTGGAGACTGGTGTATACGTGTTGTCCAAATTCCAAATCATTTGGAATTTGGGATGCCAAAATCCCAAATTACTAGTATTTGAGATTTGGGATTTCGGCAAAAAATACTAATTATAATTTGAGATTTGGGATTTGGGATTTTGGTATTTGAGATTTTGGCATTTGGATTTTGAATTTGGATGGCAGGTATAGACTGGTGAATACCTATTTTTTACTATCTATTTTATTGGTGAAAAAAAAATACACTAAATGTATACTTAAGTTTATTTATAATAAAGCTAGTAATAAGATTCATATTTTTACTATCTGTTTTTAATAATAGAAGCTAAATGCTAACTAAATAGATAACTATGCTCCGCTACACTTCACATCCAAAGTCACTATGCTCCTCCGTAACAGAAAACAATTTAATAATCAAATAAGAAGACATATATTTTTGTAAAATTGGTGAATTTTTGATTAAAAAAAAAATGATTTATGTAACCTTATATGAAAGTTATTGAGAATATAATAAAAAGTCAAAAATCTAAAAAAATATATTAACTTTAATTAAAATACACCACTTGTGTACCTAAAAATTTTCACTAGCGGAGCTAGTGCTAAAGTTTATATTTTACTATCTTTTTTATTATAGAAAACTTATAGAATACTAAAAAAGATAACTATGCTTTACTATACATGTTGCCCAAATCCCAAATTACTAGTATTTGGGATTTGGGATTTGGGATTTCGACAAAAAATACTAATCATAATTTGGGATTTGGGATTTGGAATTTTGGCATTTGAGATTTTAGCATTTGGGTTTTGAATTTAGGTAGCAGGTATAGCTTCACTACGCTCCGCAACTGCTTCACATTCATCAAAAAGATTTATGCTCACAATAATAGAATGTTAATTAGCCATCAAATAAGATAACTAAGCTCCGCTACACTCCACAACTGTTTCGTACACACCTAAAAGTATGTACTTACAGTAATAGAAAACTGAATAGTAATCAAATAAGATATCAAAAATTTACACTAATTGTGTAATATATGCAAAAAATATATCACATGTATGATTTAAAAAAAGTTATCAAAAATATGATAAAAAGTTTAAAATCTATAGAAATAGACTAACTTTAACAAAAAAACACCATCTGTGTACCTAAAAAGTTCACTATTACTTCACTCATTACATACCCAGTTCGGATATAACACTTATATCAGACCTGCAAATGACAATACATGACCAAATGTATTATTAGCATATTTTTTTACCCATGTGATCTAATATGCAAATGTACTATCACCCAGTAGTATAACTTACCTCTGCTATTTTATTGCAATGGAAATAAACCACAATTACTAAATCAGTATACAAATATTATTGAATTTGGATTATAATAGAAAATATAGAAGAACTAGGGGACCTCATCATAATCTAACTTGATAATTTCTTTACAACGGAAATAAATCAAAAACATTAAGCTAATATACAAAAATTTATATAAGTGATTAAAATATTATTAATATTGAATTTGACTTTCTGAAGAGTATACAAGCTATCTATCCATCAAAATAATCAAAATAGGTTACTAGTATGTGATCAATTTTTTGAGATCAGCCACTTTTGAGTGTGGCCAAATTTTATAAAACACACCACCTTCAAGTGTGGCCAAAATTATGATATAGGCTACATACATGAGTGGGAATAACCTAGATTAAGTGGAAATAATATAATTATGTTATTTCCACTCAATTATTTCTGTTTATTATAAAGTCATTATTAAAAGAGGTTTTATCATTTTTCCTTTTAACAAAATTGGATCAAATGATCAGTGGAAAGAGTGTTCTTTGATGCCCATACATCCTTAATATAATTATTAATATCCTACAAAAAAATTTATCTACATACCCTAAATTTTCATATATAATAATTGGGTAAATCTATTTGTCACCAATGGTAATTGTCACCACTAGGCAAAATTACATAATTCCCTGACCTAACTTTGTTAATTTTGCCTGACGGAGACTATCACCAGCGATGACAAGTATACTTTTTTTATAATAATTATAATGCATTCTTGTATATTTATCACACAAACAGAATTAAGACATCTATTTATCATCAATTACGTACACAAGCAATCGGATTTTTACATTAGATCAGAAGTTTTAAAAATTTACCATATTTGATTGGTCTCACAGCATAACTAGATTTTGATTTTATTTAATCAATTACATCTTTAACTCAAATTTGGTCATTTTATTAAATAAATTAAACTTAAAAACAAAAATACGGCAGATAACCAATTTTTTTTAAAAAAATGCTTTATTCAAAAACGTATCTTAAACGTACTAAGAAAGGGAATGCAGTAAAAGTGGTTAAAGAGCATTATCTGAGGGATGATATATGGTGTTATGTAGAAAATTGTACTTTTTGTAAACATACTGAACCTGCATTGCTTGAAGAAGCTCGAAGCACGAAACTATTAAAAATTCCTCATTACATAGTACCTGATACCAATGTATTATTAAATCAGGTATTTTTTTTTGGCTCTCGGATAAAAAAGAATTATTAATTTTTTGCATCTTCCATAAATTGTAAATTTTTAATCTCTTTTGATTTCTTTTGATCACTTTAGATGGATATCATCAAACATCCTGCTATAAATAATGTTATAATCTTGCAAACAGTTTATGAAGAATTAAGGCATTTAAATTTGTCTATTTATCAACAATTACGTACACTTATCAATGAAGGCAATCGACATTTTTTTGTATTTTCTAATGAACATCATCGGTAATAATAATAATAATAATATTATTATTACTACTATTAAATTTATATTTGCGATTACAATTTTATTTATTTTATTTTATTTTTTTTTTAATAATTTAATTGATTTTGTTAAATTTTGATATTTTTAAAGAGACACATATATTGAACGTTCTAAAGGAGAAACTCCCAATGACAGGAATGATCGAGGTAAGATTTTGTATAGAACTTATTTAATGATTATCTCTTTAATTCTTTAATCTTAATCCTTTAATTTAAATAATATTTTATATTAAAAATTAGCGATAAGATCGGCTGTAAGGTGGTATTCATTACATCTCAAGAAAGCATCATATGGGAACAAAAAGATTGATGTAGCTTTATTAACAGATGATGTAGCGAATAGAGAAAAAGCCAAAGCAGAAGGATTATTGGCATTTTCAGGTTCTTAAGAAAACATTATATGTATATAAAGTCGATTTATATTTAATTCATATTTAATTTATATTTTAATTTAAATGATAATAATAGTTAAAGAATATGTCAATGGCATGACTGATTATCCAGAATTAGTTGAGATGATAAGAAATGAGGGTAAAATTGGAAAGGATAGAAAAGTCCCTTATGATGATGTTTGTGTTTTTTAATTTTTTTGATATCTCAATTTTCACAATTTTCACAATTTTTACAATTTTCTACATTTAATTGTGTTTTTTTTAATAAGCATTTAACTGCTAGTAAAATAGAAAGTGGAATCAAAAGTGGTAAATTACTTCAAGGGACATTAAATATCAATATACATAATTATTTAGAGGTCAGTAAGAATTTTATATTATATTATAATAATATTATTAATTATATTATTATTATTTATTAATTTTAATATTTAATTTTAGGGTCATATTCAAAGTGTTGTAGATGGAGTTGAGACACAAATTATAATTTTAGGAAGGTCACGTTTAAATAGAGCAATTCAAGGTGATGTAATTGCTGTTGAGTTATTACCGAAATCTGAATGGACAATATCTTCTACTGCTGTTGTATTGGAAGAAGGTAATTATTACATCTTTATTTTCTAGATTTATTTTTGATTTATTTATAATTTATCTTTTTATTTATTTTCTTAATTTCTTAATTACAAAGAGGAGGAAACTACTGAACTCAATGAGGAAATAATGAATCAATCTAATGAATTAAATAATGAATCTGCCAAAACACTACAACCAACGGGAAAAGTTGTTGGAATTATCAAGAGGAATCGTATATAGTATCCTTTATCTTATTAATATGTCGCGTGCGCGTGTGTGTGTGTGTGTATTGTACAATTAATAGCTTTATTTTATCCTTAACTTGTATTTTATCAATACAAAAGTTATTGTGGATTCATCAACCAAAAATCAGTTAAAGGATCTGCTACTTCAAATATAGCAGAAAATGTATTGATTTCTCCGTTAGATCGACGCATACCTAAATTAACTATCCGTACTAGACAAGCGCATAATTTAATGAGTCAACGTACTTTAATTGCTATAGATTCTTGGCCCAAAAATGCGAAATATCCATTAGGACATTTTGTAAGAGTTTTAGGTCCAGCAGGAGATAAATCAACCGAAACTGAAGTTTTATTATTAGAGCACGATATATCACATCAAGAGTTTTCCCCTCGAGTTTTAAGTAATTTACCGGAAGAAGGTGAAAATTGGAAAGTTACAGACGAACATTTACGTGATCGAATGGATTTGAGACATTTGAATGTTTGTAGCATTGATCCACCTGGTAATTTCAATAACATATTTTTATATATAAAATTGATTTGGTAAATATATTTTTTATTAAAATAATTTATTATTCTTTATTTTATTTTATTCTAAAAAAGGTTGTACTGATATTGATGATGCGTTACACGTTCGATCACTTCCAAATGGAAATTATGAAGTTGGTGTTCGTAAGTATTATTTAACATGGCGCCTCATTTAGTCTATTTAATATATTAATATATAATAATCTAGATGTATTTCCACATTTATTTCTCTAGATATCGCAGATGTCACTCATTTTGTTAAACCAAACACTGCATTGAATGAGGAAGCCGAAAGTCGAGGAACAACAGTTTATTTAGTTGATAAACGTATTGATATGTTACCTGAATTATTAGGAACAAGTGAGTAATATATTTTCAAATTTGTTTGTATGAAATTGATGAAATTGAAAGTACTTATTTCTTATAATTATTATTATTATTATTATTAAAGATCTTTGTTCACTTCGAGAAAAAGTTGATAGATTGGCATTTTCTTGTATATGGGTAATTTGATTATTATTTTTTATTAGGTTTTTTTTAAAAAAAAATTTAAAAAGTTTAGTAGTAAATATTATAAATATTCGAATTCACGTATTAACCATTTTTTTTTGTTTAGGAACTTAATTCTGAAGCAGAAATTTTAAATGTTAAATTTGTTAAAAGTGTTATATCTTCAAAGGCATCTTTAACCTACGAGGAAGCACAGCTTCGTATAGATGACAAGTATGTTTGTTTAAATTTAAATATCAATAATAATATCGTTATATTAGTAATGACTAAATTATTATTATTATTTAATTATAAATAGACGAGCGCGAGATGGTTTAACAAAAGGAATTAGAATTCTTAATCAATTAGCCAAAAAACTTCGTCAACGACGTTTAGAACGGGGAGCATTAACTTTAGCTAGTCCCGAAGTGAGATTTAAATTAGAAAATGATTCTCAAGATCCTGTTGATGTTGGTATGTTTTTTTTTTAAAAATATATTTGAATGAATGAATGAATGAAAAAAATATATATTTGAATATTGAACGAATAATATTACTATATATATTTTAATATATTTGATTAAATAATTTATTATTATTATTGATGATAAAATAATTCAGAAATGAAGGAATTACGGGAAACCAATGCTTTGGTAGAAGAATTTATGTTGTTGGCTAATATATCTGTAGCCAAAAAGATTTATTCTAAATTTTCTCGGTCGGCATTATTAAGGTATTTTGAATTAATATATTAATAATTAATAATTATATTAATTTTAGTAATATTAACCATTTTTAAATAATGATTATAGACGTCATCCTCCACCAATAATATCTAAATTGGAAGAACTTATAAAAGCACTGACCCCATATGGAATGTCATTAACTTTTGAATCTTCTAAATCATTGTCAGATTCATTGGAAAAAGCTGTTGTAAGTTACAAAAAAAAAAATGGCAATAATTTCTTGGAAATATAATCTAATCTAATCTAATCTAATCTAATATATATTTATCTTTTAGTTACCTGAAGATCCATATTTCAATAAGTTGTTAAGAATCTTGACCACTAGATGTATGACATCAGCTGTTTATTTTAGTGCTGGCTCTACTGTGGCTCAAGAATATAAACATTATGGTCTTGCAGCAGATTTTTATACCCATTTTACTTCACCTATTCGTAGATATTCTGGTAAGAAGAAATAATTGGTTAATTTCGATAACTATCATTAAATTATTATTATCATTTATTAAAATTTGTCTTTTTTTTTTTTGTCTTTAGATATAATTGTACATAGAATGTTGGCTGTAGCAATCGATTTTGATAAATCATATAGTAGTGAATTAACTGATATGTACAAAGTGCAAAAAATTTGTGATAGTAAGTTTTTTATTTCTTTTGTTTATTTTATTATTATTATTATTATTATTATTTTAAAGAATAATAATATATATATATATATATCAATTTTTAGACCTTAACTATCGTCACAGAATGGCACAAATGGCAGCATCTAGTTCAGTTGAATTACATACATATCTCTTCTTTAAAGGAAAATTAGAAAGAGAAGAAGCATATGTTGTGAAAATACTTAAAAATGGATTCATTGTTTTAGTTCCTAGGTAATTTTATCATTTTACTTTATGTATTTATACATTTTTTCACTTATAATTACTAAGCTTTAGTATATATACATCTATATTTATAGATATGGTATTGAAGGAATTGTATATTCAGCTACCAAAAAATCCGCTGCGGCTGCTGCTTCACAAAAACATGTTGCACCTATAACTTATAATGTTCTCACCAATAGTTTAGAATCAACTTTAGAAGATGGACAAAAAATAAGTATAAAATTATTTGATCGAGTGATAGTTCAAATTAGTGTAGAAGAAGATTTAGTAGGAGGAGGAGAAGGTAGTAAGAGACAAAAATTAAAACTTGAATTGATAAATCCATTCATACCTGGATTAAGTATAGAAAATCCTGATGCTAATAAGGATATTAAGGATACTAAGGATGATAAGGATGTTAAGGATATGATGGTTATTGATAATGATAATGATATTAAGGAGGATGTTAAGGATACTGAGGATACTCAAGATATGATGGTTATTGATAATGATAATGAAAAAAAACGTAGCATAAAAAAGAAATCCATTTCTAGAAAAACCGGAAAAAGAAAGAAAGTAGGGAAATCATAAATTTATTTGAAGTAAATATATTTTATATCTTTTTTAAGGTATTTTTCTTTTTAAAAGACTTTTTTCATAACAATTGTTGTTTTTTATTTACTTCGTTACTGCTTACTTTATTATTAATAAATTTTTATTTTAATAACAATATTGTGCTTTGTACTCTGGTTGGCATTTCAGAATAAAAATTTTTTTACTAATTTGGAATTTTATTTATTACGTATATGTATCGTAAATTTAAATAATATTATTTGATCCGTTAAATACGATAATTACGTATAAATTACGTAATATTATATAATATTATATTGACATGATCATAGTATATTAAAGGCGAAAATCGTTTACACAAGCGAAACCACCAGAACAAAATTTTTTATTTGATGTATTAGGTTAATAATAGAACTAACTCAAAAAATAAAATAAAAGACTTTAACATCTGAAATCTTCTTTTTTCTAGATTAAGTAAAGCTTTATAAATTATATTAATCGAAAATAAACTTGAAGAATTATATTGTAAAATAAAAAAAGTTACTTGTACTGCTTGATTTTTTTAATCTATACAGAAATTTTACTATTCATATTTTTTTTTTAAAAAAAAAACAATTTTTTTAATCTGAATACAAATTTATAAATATTTATTGGGTGATTAATGAGTTATTAATTTTTTTCCTTGCGATCGATACTAACTTCGCTCTTTCATGTTGGCTATGAATGTAATTTAAACACGTGATAATGTGAAAATATAATTGGTTAAAATTCAATCACATAATACAACTAATCAACTAATCAACAAAATTTTGCCATTATCATTATAAACATATAAGGGGTGAACCCTTAAAGTCCTCGCTAACGCCAGCCAATAAATTTTTTTTTGATTCATTTTAAGAAATGGAAATTATTCCTTAAATTATAAAAATAATGATAAATAATAATAATATTTAAAACAAAATCGTAATCGTACCGTTCTAGATAATAATAGTTTAATTATTATTTATATTATTGATGATAACGATAATTTATTATTTAATATTTGATGACAAAGATATCACCTAATTGAGAAAGTATTTAAACACATCGATCTGATCTTTTCTAAAATATTTTTTAATTACTGTTATTCACTTTTTTCCCAAAGATTACATAGCAAAAAAGATTATATAGCAAGACTACATAGCAAAGCTTTACAATAACTAATCAAAGAATTAAAAAAAAAAAAAAAAAAATTCAAAATTCAATTATGGGCAGTTATGAAAAATTATTTAAAACGGTCGCTTCTTTTCCTTTGATTGATAATCATGCTCATAACTTATCAACCTCCGATGCATTTTTGGCTTATCCATTGGAAGGTTGCTTCTCAGAAGCACGTGGTGATGCATTAAAAGATGCGACTCAAACCAGTGCTTTGAAATGTGGAGTACAACAACTCTCTAAACTTTACAAATGTGCACCTGTTTGGAGAACGATTAAAGATGTGAGAAATACTTTATCTTATGATGAATTATGTAAAATTTGCTTTGAAAATATTGGTATCCAATGTGTACTCTTGGATGATGGATTTGGAATTTCGGAACATCTCCGAGATATCAAAAGTCACGTGGGTTTGGTGGATGATGTTCGAAGAATTGTAAGGATTGAAAGCGTGGCGGAAAATATTTTATATAATTTAGCGGAATCCATAGTCCATACTGATGAAGAGGTTAAAATAAATTTTTCCACTTTATTAAAAAATGAATTACGATCCTTGGCTAATTCTGAATTGGTGGTGGCTTTCAAGAGTATTGCTGCTTATCGATCAGGATTAAATATTAATTGTGATATTAATAATGAAAAAATCGTTATCGCTTTAAGCGAACACTTAAAGGCATCCACAGTATCTCCTGTTAAGAATATTGCTTTTAAACTTTTCGATAAAACTCTTATCGATTATATTTTAAATGTTGCTATTGAAATTGCGATTGAAACCGATATTCCAATTCAATTTCATACAGGTTATTATTATTATTATTATTATTATTATATATATATATTTCTTTTTAATCATGGCTCTAAAAAAATTATTTTATTTTATTTATTTAGGATTTGGTGATAATGATCTTGATTTATTATATGCAAATCCACTTTATCTTCGTTCACTAATCGAAAAGTATCCAAACGCGAAAATTATTTTATTGCACGCGGCTTATCCTTATTCTCGTCAAGCGGGATATCTTGCTTCTGTTTATGCAAATATATATGTTGATATTGGTCTTGTTGCTCCCTTAATTTCTGTTTCAGGTCAACAAGCAATCTTACGTGAATTGGTAATTAAATAATCGTTATGATCATGCTTTTTTTTTTCCTTTTTTTTTTTGCTCAATTTCATTTATTTATTTTTTTTTTTTTATTCACATCTTTTTTCCTTTAAATTTATAAAAAGTTGGAAATTTGTCCAAGCAACAAAATATTATTTAGTACAGGTAAATCATCATTTTTTAGTTCTTATATATTTTATAAATATATATAAATATTTATAAATATATTTATAAATATAGATGGTCATATTCATCCTGAATCATATTATGTCGCGACAATTCAAACAAGAGAAACATTAAGCAAGGCAAAAATTTAATATAATCTTTAATTATTGGAAACATCTGTTCTGTAATAATAACTGCAAATTAAATAAAGTTCTTACTTGACTAACCGCTACTATATCTTCTTTTTTTTTTTTTGTCCCATTATTATAATTATTATATGTTAAAAAAAAAGGTTTTATTAAATTCCGTAGAAAATGGTGACTTCACAATTGATGAAGCTGTAAATATTGCAAAACAAATAATGTTTGAAAGTTCCAATAAGTTATACAAATTAAATTTGGAACCAAAGATTCTATCTGAAATAGGTATGCAAAAAAAAAAAAAAATTTATTTTATTGCTCAAGAGGATTTAAAAAAAAACTCGTCTCGTAAAATTCATTTTTTTTTTTTGCAGATTATTTTGCACGTGGTATATCAGATGAAAAGAAAATGTTAATGTTGAAAGAAAATGGAGTAAAATTAGTACGATTAGGTTATTTAGATCTCTCCAACCAATTTCGGATTCGACTTATTCCAATCGATCGATTCCAAAATTATATTACGAAATTGGGATTAACTGCCTCACGAGCAATTAACATAATGCCACTTTTTGGAGATCATATTCCTGAAGGAATTGGAATCACTCCCGCAGGAGAATGTCTCTTGAAACCGGATTTTAATACTTTAATTCAATTACCTTATTATCCTCAACATGCTATCGCTCATGCATTTTTGGAAAATAAATGGACTCCGGGAGATCCTAAATATGGAAAACTTAATCTTATTGAAGATGATAAATATTATTCAATATGTCCTCGAAATTGCCTTCGTAAAATTGTTGATATGGCAAGACAAGATTTTGGGCTTGGTTTTTTGACAGGCGTGGAATCGGAATTTACATTATTAACATCTAAAGATTCTCGAACTCCTGTGGATGAAACGGTATATTGTGCAGCAGAATCTTTTCGACATAATAATTCAGTGGAAATAATAGATAAGATTATTGATTCATTATTAAAATCAAATATACCTGTTGAACAATGTCACTCTGAGAGTACATCGGGACAATATGAACTTGTTACGGGACCTTCTTCACCTTTGATTGCTATGGATAATTGTGTGATTACTCGTAATACTATTTATGATATTGCGGCAAAAGAAGGTTTAAGAGCAACTTTTGTTGCCAAACCCTATAAAGATCAAGGTTGGTCATCCTTTTTTTTTTTTTAAAAAAAAAAAAAAAATTATATTTAAAATATATAAATTTTTAAATATATAAATTTTTAAAGCGGGAAGTGGAGCACATTTACATATTTCTGTTCATGAAATTAATCAAATCGAAAGAAAGGGGGAGGATGAAACAGGATTAACTTCCTATGAAAGATCATTTATTGCTGGTGTACTTCATCACATTAAATCAATTTGTGCTTTCTCGTTGACAACAAGTAATTCTTATACCCGAACTGTTGATCATTGTTGGGCTGGTTCATGGATTTTTTGGGGTGTAGAAAATCGGTAAGTAATAAAGCCCAATACACCACGCATCACAAATATTACACATATATAATATTATAGCAAATATTTGAAATATTCCACATTTAAAAAAAAAATTACTACTTCTTTTTCTTTTTTAACAAAAAAATTTTTTTTTAATATAGTGAAGCACCAGTTAGAATTTGTTATCGACCCAAGAAAAATTCTGTTACTGGAAAATTAAGTACTTCCTATGAAGTGAATTTTGAACATAAATTTGTTGACGGTTTTTCAAATCCTTATTTGGTTGCATCGGCAATATTGGCTGCCGGTCTAGATGGAATAAAAAAAAAAATGGAACTTAAGACACCTTCTTGCCTAGGTACGAATTATAATTACAAATTTATAATTATGACATTATTTATTTATTTATTTATTTATTTATTTTATCTTATTTTTTTTTTGTTTATTATTTTTGTTTTTTTTTGTTATTGTTCAGATGATCCCGCTTTATTAACCGAAAAAGAACGCACAGAACTCGGTATCACTGAACGTATGCCCTCAAGTCTTCGTGAGACTTTGGATGCATTAAAACAAGATACTGTACTTATTAAAGCTATGGGAGAAGAACTTGTTAAATGTTACATTGGTATAAAAGAGGTAAAAAAAATGATTTAATTTTTTTTTCTTTTTGTGTTCATATTTGTTTTATTTTATTTTAATTCCCATTTTATTATTAATTTTTTAATACTTAAGAGTGAATTGAGCCATTTTGAGCATTTAACGGATGACGAACAACTTTCCCTTTTAATCAAACGATTTTAGATGAATTTGTTTAAATTAAATTACTAATTATACTGTGAAATTTTTATTTAATTATGTACCAAAAGAGAGATCATCATTATTTTAGATAAAAATTTTACAACTCAATCTTGATTAAAAATATGATTGAAACACATAATGTCATATGGTAATATTTGTATTAGTATTTTTTTGCAATGCCACGTTAAATATTATAAAAAATTTATTAAGCCACTACTTTCTGTCGCCATATTTGTGGCGTTGACAAATCAAACGGAAAAAAATATTTCAGTCATTGAACTAAACTTCTATTGTCCTGTTATTATCATCATCATTATTTACAAAAAAAAATAAAATATATTGGGAATATTTAATCACACAGGAAAAAGGTTAGATAAAAACATCATATTAAATAATGGGCTGATCAAGAAAATAAACTAGTATTAGACTAGTACCATATAAGGAACATTAGAGACATGTGATAAAAATAATAAAATAAAATTAAATAATTCTATTCCTTGTTTATCACCATTATTTATTTCCTATTATCAATTCCTCATATCTCTTTCTAGCGTCTCTCTTGTATACTCTCTTGGCTAAAGCCTCGGATACAGAAATTTCTATTTTACATTCAAGAATTTACATTTATGGGATGATATTTTGGATTTTATTGATTTTATTTTATTTATAGATTTTATTTGTGTTACTGATGTAAAATATGCGATAATAGATGATGAGGATGAAGATGAATATATGATGGAGAAGAGGAATGGAGACGAGTGGAAGAGTAATGGTGAAGAGAATGGAGAACGAGAAAAGAAGAGAAAGAAGGAAAGAACAGGAGGAAGAATGGGATAAGCCAAATTCAAATGTCTCATTTATTTTATTTATTTCATTTATTTTATTTTATTTTTTTCATTAATGTAATAAATTAATAAATTAATAAATTAATTTTATTATAAGTCTATTGGTAGTGACAATCAGTCAATCAGTCTTATGTGTTAAATGTTACGTTCTTGTGTTTTTGTGTTATCTCCTCCTGCACATGTATTTAATTTTTTTATTATTTATTTATTATATCATTTACTACATTTGTTCTTCGATTACTGTTTATAGTATATGAGATAATTACCTTTTTTTAAAAAAAAAAAAATAAAAAAAAAAAAAAGAAGACAACGTTAAATAGAATACTTTAAAAGAATGCACTAATAAAGAATACAACATCAAAAGACAGCATACGATACACATGAGATACGAAACACGAAATATAATTAATAATTTAATATAATTAGAACTCAATAATGGGTCGTACTAATATAATTGTACGATAGACGTTACACGAAAACCACTAAACAATGATGATAAAATAAAATAAAAAAAATTACGCGTGTATGTGGGGAAAATATATAATATATATATTATACTATAATATATATAATATATATATTATACTATAATAAACTAAATATATTATACTATACTATAATATATAAAAAATATATAATCTATTTATAATCTATTTATAATCTAAATTTATAATCTATCAATTTTTATAATAACCAGATAACTCTTTCCAAGCTTTTTTAATCTACTTTATCTATCTATTTATATCAAGCTATCAAACTTGGTATCTTTTTATTACGAAACATTTGGAAATATAAAAAAAAAACTAACTTTACACACGGCATATAAAGTAAACATAGACAACGACGACGACACCCGAAATTTCCTCAAATGAACTTAAAAAACAATACACACAGCACGTACAACATATTTAATTAATATAATCAGTAATTACCACATTACACATCTAACTTTTCATTATTGATTATTGATATTCTCATCAATCACGTACATTAAAATAAATATATATATAAATATCTAACAGTCTATTATTTTTGATTTTTTTTTTTAGCGGGAAAATTATATTTTCACACTTTTTTATTTTTTTATTTCTATTTCTTTCCACTTTATTTTGTTTTCTAACAAATTAGATTTTAAGTTTTTTATTATATTTGATTTAGATCACTTAAAACAACATATTATTTTCAATATATATATTATTATATATTATATTTTAATAGTTAAATCATATTTATTCGTTTAACGTTTATTATATTTTTAACGAGTAAAAAGAAAGAAAGAAATTAACCTGCCGGATAAAATAATTAGATAAAATAATTGGACAATTTAGAATTTAATAATAAATGGAAATAACAAAGATATGTTAATAATAAAAAATATATATTAATAAATATATATAAAAAAAAAAAATAATATAAATAATAAAAAAAAAAAAAAACGATAATAAAAAGGGATTGCTTTTTTCAAGGTAAGATTTCAACAATTTTTTTTTCGTAAAGAAATTTATTGTTGTCTTTCATTTCTTATTTGATTTATTGGTATTCTATTTTATTTTATTTATATTTCCATTCTCCATTCTTATTTCCATTCTTATATCTATTCACATTTCATTATTTTGTATGTTATCCCCTTCCCCGTCTTAAGTATATATTGATCTCATAATCTTACTAGAAAAAAAAAAAAAAAAAAAAAAAAAAAAAAAAAAAGAAAGATATATAGATAACGAACGAGACTTTTAACTTTTTACCTTTTAAAAATTTACTACTTCCTTACTTGACTTTTTTATTTACTGAGAACAATTTTTCCATTATGCGTGTTTTAACATATTCCCTAATGCTTTTACTTACATTCAGTACATTCTATATATTTAACGTACTGACTATAAGTTTAAAAAACATCGACAATGACAATAATAACTTTGTTAATGGTAATTCTCCCCATCGAATAATAATGAGTGATATTATTTATAAGAAAGGAATGATCATGATAAAAATTTTAAATTTAAAAAATATATACAAATATTATTCATATTCGGATAACTTAAATTATTATAATTATCATAAAATTCGTGATTCTAAAAGAAATTTCTCTCCACAACTACATATCAACAACGACAATAACAACAACATCAACAACAAAAGAAGAGATTATACTTTTACTTCACCTATTATTGCTAATAATATTATTTCCGAACAACGACAACAATTCTTGATTCTAGAACAATCTTCTATTATTTCTTCTTATTCTCTCAATTCTAATAATTTTACTACTGAAGGATTAATTAATAACAACAACAACAACAACAATAATAATAATAATAATAATAATAATACCTCCATCACTTCCACTATCACAACTACAACAACCACAAATAATGGCACGAATCATGACATAGATAATGACTTAAACCATTATATATATAATGATATTGAGGATGACATCGAGAACGATATTGAGGATGACATAAAGAATAATATATCTCATCATGGAGTACATGGAAGTGCTGTTAGATCAGAACAAGGAAATGTTGGATATGTGGCATTGGTTGTTACTATATTTATGTTGGTGCTATGGTGATTTAAAAAGATTTAGATTAATTAATTATAAATAAAATTAAAACAAACATTAATTAACCACAATTTTTTTCTTTTAATACAACTAGAATTAATTAAATAATTAAAAATTTATAAAGTAAAATCATATAAAGTAAAAATTAATAATTAAATTTAAATTAACTAAAACTATAAACTGTAATTTAAAAATTCAAACTAAAATTAGCCTTAAAAATTAACTAATACATATTAACACTAAGTTAACAACTAAAATTAGCTAAAATGTCTTTTTTTTTTTAATTTATTTCTTGCGTAATTGATATTTCTTGAAAAATAAGAAATATATAATTGTATAAATGTAATATTAATAATTAATAATATATAAATTAGAAATGTATAGTTTCTTTTTTATTATACCTTTAAAATATGTTAATTATATTAATTATATTAATATTAATAACAACAACAATAATAATTAAATCATTAATATCACAATTTTTATAAAAGAATATTTTTTTTATTTAAACGTGATCAATTTGATTTTTATTCTTCCGTGAAATTTATAATTTACTTTTTCCAAAGAATAAAGTAAAAATTTCATCACTAGGAGAAATAGCACTAGCTGCTGATTAAAAGAAATCATACATTATAACTTTAAATGAAACAGAAAAGAAGTAAGAATAACACCTACAAATAAGGAAAAAACAATGCCTTAGACAAATATAGAAACAAGAAAGAAGATAAGAGAAATTCTAATTAAAACAAATATCCCACATTTTTAGTTACTCTGTTTATTAATAAGAATTGTCTCATTTTACAGGAATATCCTGAATTCATAACAATTGTCCTAGCTATAAGAGAACTTTTTTTTTGCTAACTTGTACTAAGGTTTGAGGAATACTTTGCTTACTCAATTAACAATTAATAAACCAAAAAAATATTTGTAAATCATCTCAATTCCAAAATTTTCCTAATAAGGTTTCTGTCAATTTCCTCTTCTTTGGCTACTTTAAACTTAAGGATTAATTTCTCCTATACTTCAATAGCTTTTGCCTGTAGTTTTCCTTCAAGAAATTTGTGGACATTCCTCTTATTTTGCCTTTTCACCTTGTTTTCCAACTTTTTGATAAATTAGTAACTAACTTTGACCCAAATACTTTCTTTATAAAAAAAAACAAATAAGCCAAAATGATTTCTGGAAATGAGAGTTTAGATTTTAACTTTTTCTCTGCTGTATGTTTTTTTTTTTTTTAAAAAAAAAAAAATTGTGGTAATAAAAATTAGTTAGGAAAATTATTCAAAATCCATTCCTTATTTTTCCATTAAATTTGATCTGTCCCTTTGCTATATAATGAATATCTGGAGTAAAAAATGTAGGTGAAGTAAATCCTTAAGTAAACCCACTGAAAAAGCAAAATAAAGCAGTAAAAGTATCAAGTTCCATATTCAAAGTTAAAAAAAAAAAAGAATAAATTCGTCATATGAAACTTATAAGTGAGACAAAATGGTTAATCCAACAATTATTCAAGTTCTTTTCTTTTTTCTTGCCTAGAAGCAAAAAGAGTTTGAAGTGTCTTACTTCCAAGAAAATGTAGATAAGAAAGGTAAAAGAAATACAATTCAAGACTTGATTTTGAGCTGATCTGTGAAGAAGGAGAAAAATTACACCTTAAATTTTCAAGATAAAACTATTGAAGAATATTTAAATAAAGAAAGGATAAACTATGAAATTTACTAAGAAAAAAGAAAAATAATTTCTGATCAACTTGAATTAATTTTCAACACTTTGTCTTTATGTTTATCATTAACAAATGGGTTATTATAAAAGTATTCTTTCCTCTTGCAATTTAGAGGAGGTGTTAATACTAAAATAAATGAACAAAACCTTAATTTCTTTGATTTTCCAAATTTTTAATAAATTAAATTTACCATGACATGATAAGGATTAGATGCTTCAAAAAGGAAATGTTGATATTCTTGAAAGAAATAAATTCCCAAAATGGATGAAAACCTTTACCTGTCCTGTTATAGAATTCAATCCCTAATTTATACTTGTTTTTTCTAGAGTTTTTTAATCAATTCAAAATTATCATCACAACTTGAATTTGATATCATATGAAATTTACTAATATAAATAAAATCAAATTATTAGTATTATTTTATACAAGTAATACAAGTAATTTTTAAATGTTTTTCACACCTTTATTTAATTTCTTTAATTCTGCTAAAATTAACGAATTTCAATGGCTATTTTACTATGATCAAATCCAGTCTTTTTATCAAATAATTGTTTCTTTTCACATTGAATTTTATCTGTGGCTTATTAACTAGACTTTTCTTGATCATTTCATCATTATAAAAATTGCAAAAATATAGATCAAAGTAAACCAGTTATGAAAGTGTTAGTTTTTTTTTTTAAGGGAGAGATAATATTTATTTATAGTGGAAATTGAAAAGATAATTTGAAGTTTTATTAAAATTAAAATTTTTTTCTTGATTTCAAGTTTTATTGTAAATACTATTAATACTAATAAAGAATTTCTATTTGAATTTTACAATTTATCTATTTGTAATTTTTATTATTATTCTTGAAACTAATTGATCATTTGGATTTAAAAATAAAAATAGTTTTAAATTTACATAAACTCTATTTTTTTTCACTTTGTTGGGTTTTGTTGAATTTTAAAAAGAGATCTTTATTATTTTTTTTTTTTAAAGTTTATAATAATTTTTTCTTTAAGGGTAAACATATAGAAATAAAAAAAAAATAATATTTATAAATAAAAATGCATTAATTAATTTATATCAGAAAAACACGAAAACATTCTCTTAAAAAAAATTATAATCTTACCGATGATCACTGTAAAATATATAAAATAAATTTCCTCTATACATTTCTTTAAATTTTACATAGAAATTTCTAATTCGTCATTATCATTATCATCTTTCCACCATAAAACTTTCTTCATGCGAAACTCCCGTCAGTTTCTCAACTATTTAAAAATGAGATATAAAATTTATAAAATATATATAAAATATAAAATATATAAAAAAAAAAAAAGATACTCAAAAGTCATACTGCATACCTTGGGCATATCTTTTTATTTATTGTTCACCAATTAAAATTAAAAAAAAAAAAATTTAGATTTTAGTAAAAAAAAAAAAAAACCATCAATAAATTCCAAATATTAATATATTAAAAAAACAAACCTTTTCTTTTATACTTACGCTCGATTGTGATTATTATTTCGATCGTTATTAATTAGATTTCTCCATTCAATTTGATTTCGAAAGAATTTTAAATGTTTTCCCAGTGTAGTACTAGGATGTATATTCAATATTCCTTTAACTCCATATTCTTCAACTATTTCAACATGTTCAATTGTTAATTCTTTTCCAAAATTAAAATCAATCTTTCTTCCTGGTTCTAATCTCATTTCACTATATTCCAAAAATTCTCTAAATGATTCGGCTGTTAAAATCCAATTATAACTCATAAAAAAGTTACTTAATTTAGGTGGTAAAACTTTACCCATTTCTGGTAAATATTTTGAAACATTAATTGTTATTATTCCATCTGATTCTTCTCGTGAATCCCCAGTTAAAAATTCTAAATTTTGAAGTTTAGTACATGATACTAATAAAGAAGGTAAAAAGGGAACCGCTTCATCAGGAACAAATATCCGAAGTTTTCTAATATTAGGACAAGTTTTTCCAATTGTAATAATGAACTCCTTACAATAATTTATACCTTTAGCTCTTTCATAATCAATATTAAGATCTACTAAACTACCTTCTGTATTACTAATTAATGTTGAAATTTGATCTAAAAATAATTTTGGTGTTATTAAATGTAATTTTTGAAGTTTTTTAAATTTGGAATTAGAGAATACTTCAAAAATTTTTCTGGTGGCAATACTAGAATATTGATAAGCTGAAAATCGTTCAAGTTCTGTTGATTCTGCAAATAAATCCAAAGGTAAAGAGAATTCCCAATTAAGTTCAATCCTCTTTAATTTTGAGATTCGATTTTTAAGAGCTTCAGCAATAGTTGGTAAATAATCTTCCGCATAAATTATAAGTGATTTTAAATTTTGTTGAGATCCAAATAATGTAGCCAAAGCATCATCATTATCACAAGAAATTTCTATCTTTATTTCTTTAAGATTATGAGCAACTTGAGCAATAGTAAATATAATTTCATTGGGAATAAAGTCCATCATACAAAAACCTTCAAGTTTTGATAAACAAATTTCAGCTCCTGGTAAATATTTTAATTGAATATAACCTATATCTGATGCAATAGGTAAAGCATGTGATTTATCATATTTAAGATATTTGAGATTTGAAGAATGATGAAGAAATAATTTGCATAATTCTTCTACCACACAATAATGACGATAAGTCATTTTTCGATGAGAAATTTTTTCATTTTCATCGATCCAAACTCCAGTAGCTTGAAATAATAAAATATAATCTAAACATTGTAAAAACGAAGCATAATCGAAAGTTGGTTTTTTAAAAATTTGTGGTGGTAAAATTACTCTCGCTTTTATTAAAGTATTTTTTGATTCATTGGATAAACAAGAAACGTAAACTTGCGTTAAATTGGAACCTTTATTCCATATTTGAACTTTATGATAATCGAAAAAATCAAAAGGTTTTTGCCAAAGTAAAGGAACAACTGTAGTACACCAATATCGATTGACTAATAAACAATTATGTAAAACATTTATATTTAATTGAGAAAAAATCTTTTGTAAAATTTCAATAGGAAATAAAGAAATCATTATTTTTTTTTTGATAAAGAGTAGATTTATTTTATTTTTTTTTTTTAATAATTTTAATATCATCTGATTATAAAATATCTAAATTAGGTTAAATGATATGCAAATTTAGCATTATCTTTAATTTCGTGATATTTTTTGTTTATTGACATTATTTCCATAATTAAATTAAATTTATATTATCTACTCTCCACAAGTAATTATTTGATGTTTTTCATAAAAATATATAATTCTTCCAACTTTACTCGATAACAAATGTTTAAAGGTTGTTAAAAATGAAAATAAATATATATAAATAAAAAGAAAAAAAAAAACCATAATAATCATGCATTATACATAATCGTTTCTAATATTTGTTACTTGCGCATAATATTTAATAATTATAAATTCTTTTTTCTTTTCCTTTCGGTAGTATTTCCTCAACAATTTCTTTTGATGAAAGGATAAATTCCATTACGTTCATTTCATCTATTCATTCTTTAATATTTTCTTGTCATCCTTTTTCTACTAATTAGTTTTGTATTATTTTTTTCGCGATCTGATCTGAAATCTTGAGAATTCATACCTAATACTTCAGGAGATTTTCTACATTTTTTTCCAATTAATTTACTTAACCCAAAATCCGAAATATATAACTACTGCATTGCCACCATTACAACAAATATTCCATTCTCTATGAAAATAGTACTGTAAATTTGAAAGTATTTCAAGCAATATACGATAAATTCGAAAGCAAAAATTCGGTTAAGTAAAAATATTATATTTATCTACCCGTTCAAAAGCAAGAATATAATTATATATATATATATATATATACCTCGAAGCTAAAGAAGAGAGACAAACAAGTTAGCTATAAAATTATCAAAAATAGTTAATTCATTAGTTTATATAACATTATTTCATATAATTTTTATATCTTCTTTTATAGAATAGGTTACACGAATCGTGTTTCAAAATTCAATGGATTATTATTAATCTACCTCGTGAGGTAGATTGGACAAATTCACGTCTTGTGAACTATCTCATAAGACTCACATATCTTTGCGAACAGGAACACACCCGTCCTTTAAAATAGACCCCGGTGTATTCACACTAGTGGTGCGATCCGGATAGGTCTTAAACGGATCTAACCAACTCTTAACCTAAATCACAATTATATTAATTACGTGCTGATACTTTAAAAAAATTGTTTATATAGAGTGTTAGGATAAAAGGGGTGTCATCGGAGTTAATTTGGTCTTGGATAAATTTATCCTTTTAAATAATAGATAATTTATAAGTTTAAATTGAATTAAGAATAATAATTCGAAACTTATTGTTACGTTAGTGAAACAATTATAAAGTTTATTGATTTTATTCTGAGCATCCCAAATAATATAATAAAATGAATAAATTACAATGATATATTCTTCTCCTTACACATTTCAACAGCCTGCTTCTGTTTATTGTAAGCCGCTAATTTTAAATATTTTTCTCCTTCACTAATATCTTGGTTAATTCCCATCCCATAATAATAAATCTTTCCCATATTGAACATTGCAGTAGCATTCCCATTTTCCGCTGCTTTCTTAAAATATATTGCAGCTTCTGTTAAATTTCTAATCACTCCTTCACCTTTGAATAAACAATTTCCGTATCTTAATTGTGCTTCGGGCATATCACCTTCATCTGCTGCTTCTTTAAATAATTTCGTTGCTTCAATTGCTCTTTCTTGTTCTGATTCTTCAGGTCCATCAATAAGATTATAATATAAATAATAACCTTTCCAATATTTAGCGGTAATATCACCTACCGCCGCGTGTGCTTCAAAACATTTCCAGGCATTTTTTTTATTACCATCTCTTTTCTTATGTTCCATAATTGCTTCTTCTACTGACATATCTCCAAATGCTGAAAAATCGATCGTGGTTAAACAATCACCTTCAAATGATGATGATGATGATGATGATTGAACGGGTATAAGATTTGGTGAATTCCTGGGAGATTTGGGTTGACATTCTTTATATATTTTTTCAAGTGTTAAAAACATTTCGGTAAAAGTTGGTCGAAAACTTGGATCTGGATGCCAGGCTCCTATAATTATTTATAATAAGTAATAAAATTAAATTAAATTACACATTTTAATTCAAATATTGATAATTTACCATTTTTAAGGTTGGAAACTAAATTTTTCCATTCCGAGTGTGGTACTCCTAATGACCAACTCTCACGATAATTATTTTTTTACTCTATCCCGAATGCTGGCGATATCTCTCTCTTTTGCATATGGAATTTTTAGTTCTGCTATCTCCCAAAGTAACATACCAAAACTGAATTAAAGGTAAATTATTAATACAATAATAAAATTTTTTCCTCTTTTTACTCCACGATTAATAATAATTATAAATTTTGGTTTTACCTATAAACTTCACATTTAATATCATATTTATAATTTTTATTAATTAATTTTTCGGGTGCCATATATCTAACATTATGAATATTTGCTTTAATCCTTCATGTTGCATCCGTAAATCCACGACTTAATCCAAAATTAGTGATCTTTGCACGTTTCTCTAATGTAATTAAAATATTCTCTGTACTAATATCACGATGTAAAATCTGTACTGATGCCAAAAAATTAAGTCCTCGAGAGATTTCAAGCGCAATTGATACTTTCATTCCATTATCCATTCCATAAGTCTCATAATATTTCCTTAAACTACCATATTCTACCCATTCCATAACCAAATATAGGTTATCATTATTTTTATGTAATCCAATAAATTTAATAATCTCATCTGATTGTTGAATTTTTTTTAAGATTGTTACTTGTACAGAAATACTATTTTTCGTATATTCTGGAAGATCTTTTACTGGTACTTCTTTAAAAGCAACTTCACACCCATCATGATTTCGAATTCGTTTATGAACTTTTTTACCACGATTTGAATTAGGAACAATTTGAAAATCTTCAATGTTAAGTGGATCATCGGTAACTATTTCATCAAGTCTCAAAGGTTTTTGATTATTAATTGATGATAAAGATTGTTTATCAAAATTATTTTTTAGAGCTGAAACTTCTTCAACTATTATACTAATCTTGTTACCAAAATCTGTTACTCCACCTTTTATTACATCAAGGTACTGTTCACCAAGAAAATTAATAATATTAATAATGAATCATTGCAAAGATTAAATCACAAAAAAAAAAAAAGAATAATATTAAATCAGTGTTCTTATCTTATATTACTTTTTTTAACATATCGGTATCTTCTTTAAGAACCTTTTTATCTTTCTCTGCTTGAATATGATTCTCAATAGTTATAGAAAAATGTAATGAATTCATATATCCATCAAATTCATTGGTTAAATTTTGAAAAGTCTCACTAATCGAAGCCGAACGTAAATATTTTCCTAATCGAGAAAGTTGTGATATTTCATGTATAAAATTTTTAATTTTATTTATGGTTTGTAAGAATTTTCGAAATAATAAATAATTATGTTCGGTGAAAAATGATTGATTATCATCTCTACGGATCTTTAAATTTCGAACAGCAGCTTCGGCAGACGCGACCTATATACATTGTTTTTATTATTCTAAAAAGTTATTCTCTAGATTAATTAAGAAATTTTTCTAGAAAAGAATTCAATTCAATTCAAAACAAAATTTATAATAAACGGACCAACCCTATCTAATAAAGACCCACAAATTCTTTTGTTATGTTCAGCTTGTTGATAAAAAAGTAATTATTTCTTCAAGAATATTTGTTACTTCACCAATAAGGGGAGAAAATTATGTGAATGAAATTAAGGTCGTGCAACCCAATGAAATACCCACTTCCATTGTATCTAATATTATTACTGAACTTGGTTGATATAAGTCATTAATACTTCCAACATTATCAAGTATTATTGTAGTGTTATCATTAACATCATCATATAATTCTGAAGCGTCGTCCAATAATTCCGTATTATGAAGAGAAGTCTCATACTCTCTATTATCAGAAGTTGATATTTCTAATGTTGTTGAAGAAGTAGGTATATTAGAATTATCTTCGTTTTTAGTACCAATTAATTCTTTAAGATTACTAGCAGATTTTCTGATAAATTTTTTCACTGAACGGAGAGACATTATCGCGAAATATCACTTAAATGTACCACTCAACGGTAAACATTTAAATAAATAAAAATATTGTGAAACGTCACGTCTTATTGGTAATGTTACATTTTTTGAAAAGAGAGTTGTTATTTTTTAAGCCATTTTATATCCAGTACTTGAGGCTTTTTATCAAAAAAAAAAAAAATCTGCTTAGAATAAAAATTAAAATTAAAAGTCGTGCTACAAATTTTTCCTTTTTTTTTTTTGCAAATCTTTTTTTTTTAAAAAAAAATCCGATACTATTGTAGTTAGTTTACCCTACCCAATATCGTATTAATACATTTGATATTGTTTTCTTTAGCCAAAATATTTTATCGCGTTCATTCTTTTTTTTTTCTCAAAAAAATGGCTACAATTTTTAGAATGATAGATAAATATTTAGGCGAAGCCATAGTTTGCTTTTGTATATATATTGGATTTTGTCAACAAATAAGTCAAAAATATCCTATATAAATAGTAACCGATACTAGCCACAACTAACTTTTTCTTTATTATTCTTTACGTTCAAGAAATAACTCAAAAATTCAAAAAAAAAAAATCGAAATAATGGCTCGGGTTTGGCTCAAAATTTTAAACGTGCTCGCTTATTTTTTATTTACAGGAGTAAATCTTTATTCATTCCTTTTTGATGAAGACACGGTACAGTATTGATGATCCTCTTCCTCTACGAATTGAAATAATTAACGTATTTATGAAATTAACACTTTATTTTTTTTTTTAATGAATAGAAAAAATTTCCTGGATTTAAGATAATCCATCAAACTTATATTTCTCCTGCACCATATGTATACGGTATTTGGGGTTTAATTCATCTCCTGTTATTAGGATTTGGTAAATATTATTATTATGATTTAAAATTGAAGATATAGAAGATGTATAAATTTATCCTTAAAAAATTGTTTTACCTTTAGTTATTTACCAATTCTTTGCTAAAAACGAAGAAATTATTACCGAAGCCATTGGTTGGCGTTTTATCATTATTACAATAGTGAATGCTACTGGCAATAAACTTTATGTTAGTTTTTTAATTTTATTTCTATAAATTATTGTTTTTTAATTTATTTATACTTTTTAGTAAAATTAATATTTTTAATATGTACGCTTGTAGCAATCGAATCATCTCCTTTTCTCTTGGATAGCTATTTTAATTACATCTGCTCTAGTCTCTACTGTTTACTATCGTCTTAGGACTCATGCTCACTATCTTACCCGTACATGTACATGGAGTGAAACTTTATTTATTCATGCACCATTTTCAATATATCATGGCTGGGTTTTTGTATTAGTTGTAATTGGAGGTTTCGCTGCCTTCTCAGAAAAAGAACAGGGAGAATCACCTAGCATTCTCATGAAAATCTTGGTTGTATTGGCTTTGTTAATTCTTGAAACGACAGCAGTTGGTTACATTGAAAAATTCAAAGGTGACATCGCGGGGGCCATCGTAATCGTTTGGGCATTGAGTGGTATCGCAGTTGAACAAGATGATTCTGTAATTCGTTGGGTTGCCGTTTTCTTTGCTGTTTTCACAACATTTCATATCTTAAAAGCTATTTATCAAAGATATATAAGCAAATCGGAAACAAAAGGGGCTCCATTGCTAGGATAATGTTATTTTATATTTTGATAACCCACGCGAAAAGAAGAGACGAGGTTTTAGTAATAAATAAATAATTTCCGAATACTTATTTTTTTTTACTCTCTAACTGCTAAACAATTTATTCTTCATAATAAAATTGGAATCATTCTCTCGAAAGTAAAAAATGGTCCGTTATGTACAAAAAAAAACAGTAAATAGAAAAGATTTCGTTGAAAGAAAAAAGATAGTAAATAAAAGGAAAATGAACCATTATTCTTTTATTGAATAAAGAATTTTAAAAATGGAATAAAAATAAAAAAAGAAATTTAAAAGAGATTTAAACGAGTTAGGTATGCTCGCTCGACGCTTAGTGCAAGCTGGGGCTGTTGGTCCGAAGGATCGCACTTAATTTGTTTCTTTTATTTTATATCATTATTGAGAAATTTTCTCAAGTATTGTTATTCATATAGTCTAATAATATAAGTGGATATTTACACTATATTAATTTCTCACTATTAGGCTAGGGTATATTTTATTATTATTATTATTATTATAATTATTTCATTTATATTATAATTATTTTATTATTATTATCATTACGTATTCTTTTGAATCTATATCTTATCATAATATTAATCTCGATAATCTCGCGTAACAATATTGGCCATTATACTACAGTTTCGCAACGTTAAAAATGGAATAAATCACATGCAACAAATCATCGTGGGAAAATACTTCAGGCGAAAAAAAAAAAGAATATATGAAAGGATGACTGTATCTAATGTTCACGTAATGTAACTTTGTATTTTAGAGTGAGAAATCCATGATATGAACTTTGCATGTTTGAAATTTCTGTTCTTTTAATTATTTATCTGTTATAAAACACAAATTATAAAAGGGAATATTATCACCCATTATCATTATTATTTATGAGTGTAGAAAAATAATTACAAATAATACCATTATGCTGATACAACGTATTTATTTGTTTTATTTTGTGCAAAAATATTATACACATTATTTATTTTAATTCCCTTATCGAAAAACCTTTTCTTTAAAAGATAATTATTATTATTATTGTTTAAGTTATAAATTTTTATTGTGACAAATATTGAATTCTTTGATAATACGCTTTATAATAATAAAATAAATCAAGTGATTATTCTAAAAAGTCGAAGAGGGGCAGTGGCGTAAATTTAAAGTTATCAAAAAAAAATTATTAATTGTTGAATCATATCCGAGCAAGAAAAAAAACGTCTCTTTATTAATTCTTTCAGTTATATCAAGCAGGAAATACAACAAATTCCAAGAAAATATCCCATATCTAATACTTTACATGTCACGGGTATTCTTTTTTTAAAAAGAGTATCCTTCTCACGCACGCTTTGAACCAATATTTTACACAAAGAAAAACAAGAAACAACAAAACGCCTCGATCTACGGACGTTACGTTTTATAAGTAAAAATGGCTTTTTTATTATTATCGAGATTGTTTATTGCATATGTATTGAGCGCGATAAGTAAATTTCTTAAAAAAGTGTTCTTTAATATTTTATATATAATACCATACTTAACTCTCCTTTCCCCCTTTTTTTTAGGAAATTTACACCTCACACACAACATTCAACTTCTTGCCTTCCTTTTCTTTCCGTAATTTTTAATTTTTTAATTTTTTTTTTTTTTAAAAAAATAGCTATGTCTTTTTTTTTTTCGTTCTTAAGCATTTTTTTTTTGCACGCAATTATTAAGATTATAACGACGCGTTTCTTTTTACGTTAAACGTATCTAGAAGTAATTCTTTTTAATTTAATAAAAAATTATTCGCAAATAACTGTTAACGACTTAAATATCTAACAAAAATCCCTATCCAAAGCGAGGAAAACCTGCCTAAAGCGACCTACTTAAATATCTTTCGATCTAAAAGGTCCTACCTAAATATCATGAAACGATTTCCCCTAATAACGAGCGAAGAGACGCCATAAATACTTTTAAACCTAAAACGACTCCAACCTAAAGCGAATCCTACCCAAAAAATAATACATGAGAAACGATTTCTATTATATTTATCTTATTTCTCTCCCAAAAATTTGAGATGGTCGAGAAATTTATTGTAGATACTGTAATATTTTATTATAAAAAAAATAAAATATGTATATAATGTAAATAAAGACATATCATATAAAAACCTCTCTATAATCACACATTTAATAAAGCCAGCACCTATTAATGCTATGTAAAAAACCCTCTCTATAATCAAACCTCTATATAGGCGCAATTCTTTATAATCGCCCATTTTTTTTTACAGGGGGTGTAGAGGTTTGACTGTATTTTTTATGCAAAAAGTATTCTTTTCTCTCCACATACATTTTTTTTCTCCACATTCATGATTTCTCTAATGTTAAATTTATCTCATATGCTTTATGATGTATAACTTTTTATTGAGATTGGATTTTTTTTTTAATTATAAAATACCTTTTTTTATTTATGTTCAGTAATAATAATTTTATAATAAACTTTTTCAAAAAAAAAAAATTAAAAACAATATTATTACCAGAAAATGTCTTAATAAGTAATTGAATATGTAGGTTTTATCTTCATATGCATTATTAGGATTGATGAATTTAGAATTTATTTATTCACTTGATTTAAATCATAAAAAATAGAGAAATTTATGATATTTATCAAGATATATCTAAACATCTTCATTCATTCGTCTCATTTTCTGTTTTCTTTATTTTGACAGCATTATCTGTTGTGTTTTATGTCACTCACATTCATTCGTCTCTCCTTTAGGTTATACATTTAAACTTTAGAGTTACTAAAAAACGTAATTTAAATATTAACTCCTGTATATATGTCAAGCTTAAATATACTATATAAATTTATTTTGATTTTTTTATTTATTACATTGGACTTAGTTGAACTTAATTGAACTTAATTGAACTTGAACTTAATTGATTGCATTGGGGACTGAATACATTGTTGAAGTTTAAACAACAATGGATACTAAAACTTAATTGGCTTTCTTGATTACTTAGAAACAAAATTTGACTAGAGACAGGTTCTGCGGCGTAGATAATCAGTATCGCGCAAAAAATTCTTATAAATACAAATCAACGAAGAATGTTCATTCATCAAAAATGGTCTTCACTAAAATTGTTCGACGTGATTCTGGGTTCTTTTGAAGTTGAAGATGAAAATGAAATTTCTCATTTCCTCGTTTCATCCGTTTCATCCATTTTATCATTATCATCATTGGAAAATACCCTAATACTAGTAACGCACGAAAATCGTAAAATTCCATCGTACCACGTTAGAGAAGAATTTTATTTATCAAGAAAAATTCGTGTTCCTTTGAAATTACTTCAGATACCAAAAAATTTATCGAATTTAATCTTAAATTTGAACAAACACGAAAAGGTGATAAATTGCCCCTCGAGGAATATTTAAAGCCTATTCCCTTTGAAAAAAGAATAATTCCTTATTATGGACGCAAATTCACATTTACTCCAAGTGAAAAAGAAAATTCTTGTGTGGATATTTATTTAATTTAAATATACTCATAAGCAAAGCACATTGTGAGGAACGCTTATCTGTATAAAATTATTGTTAAAATATAATCTTTGACCATCCTTATAGATTTAAAAACTGTAAATATTCTTTTAAAATAGATTTTTTTTCTCCCGTAATTTTTTTTTGTTAATTTCCCAAAATATATGTAAAATTTTAAATAAATTTGTTAATCGATGTTGATCCAAACATGTAACTGGTGTGTAAATGTTCAAAATATTAGTGGGTCTGAGGTGTACAACTGTCAGAATTGTAAAGCTGTAATGGATCGAGATGGAAATGGAGATCAAGGAATCTTTCTTCGGGCGTTGCTTGATGGAACCTTGATTCCCTCTGGAGAAATAGTGGTCATACTTATGCCTATTATTGATGTATCCAGAGATTCATAAAAAAAAATATCAATTGTGAAGAAAAAATAATTTTCTCAGATTTGCATATATAGAGTAGTGCTGTTCTAAACTTAATGTTTTAATAATTAACTAACATACTGAATAAATAGAATTTATCTCATAAGAGAACGTAATTGATCATTTATTTTTTAAGTCAACAAGTCTTTTTTTTTTTTCTTTTGCAAATAAATTTTGATTAATGAAGTAAGAAATTTGTAAAAATAATAATCAAATAGTTTTGTTTTAGATAGGAAAGTAATTTTCTAGATGCTTTCCTGATACACTTTTAGTATGGACATAATATTTATGTTATATGATAAAATATATTATTTAGAATCATCAAATGATTTGAAAAACTAGAGGGCTGTTGACTTAAACTGTAAAAAAATAAAAGAATAAAATATTCTTTGCCACGTTTTCTTCCTTTTCCTTCTAATGATTGGTTTTAGTATCGGGAGCAGTAGTGGTGGTACCTAGATAAAAATCAACGAGATTAAGAATTAAGAAATTATATTTACAATTTATAAAAATTTTAAGTTATTTAGAATAATTGATACCTTTTGCATTTTCATTACATTTGCATTTTTCATTTTCAGGAATATTTTTCATCACTAAATAATAAATTCAAAATTAATTTAATTGATATTTAAACAACAATTAAGCGATGTTTAGACATCTTTAAACATATTCAGATCGATCAATATTTAAAGTATAAAAAATAATTTTATTCCACCTGAATCAACGTGACGACCACATCCTGCCCAAGTGAATTTGTGACAAGTTTGACAGGTTACTTTCTAAATTAGAAACAACGAATAAGTAACATTAATTAAGAAATGAAATTAATGATAACATTTTTTTAAAGAACTTACATAACACATTTTTTGTTGTAGATATTAAAAAGATTTTTGTGTGAAAAAGAACCAAAAATCCCAAATACGAATTTATAATTTAATTAGTTTAATGATTTTTTTTTTTTTTTAAAAAAAAAAAAAAAAAAAATTAATTTAATACTAATTTAAATTTATTCATATTTTAAAAAAGACAAATTAAGGAAATGATTATATCGTGTAACAACCGGACAAATTTAACCGTAAATCATAATAGAAAATGGATATGATTTTTTAAAATAAATTATAATATGGTAGTAAAATATAATTTAGAATTATTAGAAATAATTTTATATAAGAAATAAAAAAAATTTTGTGTTCCGTCTTACTAATATTCAGTTGAAACCACGAGCCTACTTAAAAGCTTTTATTATTTAACAGATTTGAATAAATCATTAATCTTATTTTTCTTATTTTTATAGATCTTATAGAATACTGTATATATAAATAACATTTTTAATAATAGATAAAAATGTATATATAAATATATTTAATAAAAATATTTAAATTATAATATTGGAACTAGAAAATTGCTAAGGCGCACCCGCAAAATTGCAAAATGAATTATGTAATTTGCCTGGTGATGACAATCACCACTGGATCAACTCTATCCCTTAAACGGTAGTGACGTCACAAGTTACTAATAAATGCGCCCGCAATTCACATGATTTACATCTACAATTTAATTTATATTATTCTTTGTGGATAAAAATTTTTAACACAATATTTATATAGTAATCCTACGGTTGTTCCCGTAATTTTTTTAAATCACCGTGGTGTTGTGGGGAAACAGATTCATTCAATTATGCGTAAAAAATCTATAAATAAATACCTTATTAAGAAATAAATAATAATTTTTTAATTTATTTCAATATCAAAGAAAGATTAATTGATTAAATTATTAAATAAATAATTATATTTTACATATTGTGTATATTATATTCCTAATTTGGATAATAATTCAAATCCATTGTTTCTTATATACATTTCAAATGTCTGTGTTCTTTTTTTTTATAAAAATAGAGGATCATCTAACCCCTGACCCATATTACAAAAAAAAAATAATTGAAAAAACGCCGAATCAATCATTTTATCAATTTTATCTATTTCATCAAATTTTATCATTTTTAGAAAACAATTAAATTATTTTATTTTATATTATTTTTATATTGTTCTTTTATCTTCTACAATGAGAGTAATCCAATCAATTAAAATTTTTCATCGAAATTCAATTCAAAGATATCCATCATCATTGCCGTCATTATTGACTCTGTCATCATCAATTACTATAACTCATAATTTTCATAATTTTCATAATAATAATTTTTCAACTTTTACTATTAATTTGACTTCACAAACTTCAACAAATTCACAATCATCTTCTCTTTCCTCTCCTTCTTCCTCCTCTTCTTCACAAATAATTCCAACCCTTTCTAATCAAATTGCTGCTATCGAAAATATTTCTCCTAATTTTGGTAAAAATCAGCATATACCAATCGATAATGAATCAAATGAAAAATTAAAGAAAATATTACATAATTTTAATGCACCTATAAGATATGCTTTCGCTTATGGCAGTGGAGTTTTTTCCCAAAAAGGATATGATGAAAAAGTAAGTTAATTTAAAGTCATCGTCTACTATTACTATTATTGTTATATTTTTATTATTCTATATCGATATTATTATTATATTATTATTATATTATTGTAATGTTATCGTTAACTTACATTTTTTAAATGATCTTAATGAATGATATCTTTTCGAAAGTTTAAGCCAATGGTAGATTTCATCTTTGCAGTTAGTTATCCACAACATTGGCATTCTTTAAATCTAAAACAAAATAAAAATCATTATTCTTTCATAAGAAGTTTGGGAAGTAGAGCAATATCTTCATTACAAGAAAATGTTGGTGCTAGTGTTTATTTTAATCCTTATGTACAAATGGATGATATGGTAAATATTTAATTTATTTTATTTTATTATATGTTATTTTATTTTATTGTAGATTATTTCATTTTATTAGAGATTATTTATTTTATTATAGATTATCTTATTTTATTATTGATTATTTAATTTCTTTGTAATATAGGTTATCAAATATGGTGTGATATCAATCAATAAAATGTGTCAAGATCTTTTAGATTGGGAAAATCTTTATATATCAGGAAGAATGCAAAAACCTGTAAATTCTCATATTATATTCTTATATCATTCTCTTCTTACATCGTATTTTTCTTATATCAAGTTCTTCTTATATCATTCACATTACCTAGATTAAAATATTAAGAGATGATGCACGAGTACGTTTGGCACAACAAGTGAATTTATCTAATTCCTTAAGAACAGCTTTACTTTTGCTTCCTAAAGATTTCACCGAAGAACAGCTTTATTTAACAATTGCTGCAATATCTTTTAAAGGTAATAATTATTTATATTATCTCTATATGATATTATTACTCTTCTATATTATTTTATTTATATTAAATTAATTAAACTTTTTTTTTTAATGATAACAGGAGATTTTCGTAAATTTGTTGGAGAAAATCCCAATAAAATAAAAAATGTTGTTTCTACTCAAATTAATAATTTTAATTTATTATACTCCAGTCTTATTAATGCATTACCAAATGTAACATTTATTGATGATAATAATTTGCAGGTAATTAAATATCTTTAATTTATTTATTTTTATTTATGCCCAATTTAATACATGTGATATAAATTCACAAATAAATGGATTAATAATAATAGCAAGATGATAGTCCAAAAGCTCGAGCTCAAATGATTCAAAAATTACCTCGAATATTGAAAAATAAAATTCAAGAAGAATATAAAATGGCAATGATTAGAAAAGGGATATCCTTTCCTTCAGGTGAGGAGATCATTATTTATAAATTCTTTCAAAAAAAAATTTATTTTTGTTATAATATTTATTTTTTTTAATAGATGAAAAAGAAATAATTAAGAACATTGCATCTTCTGAAGATTATTCAAAGTATATTGAGACAGGTAAAAAAAAAAAATTAAATTAAATTCAAATCATTTATGATTATTTTATTAAAATTTTTTCAATTATAGGATTGGGAGAAATAATATTTTGGCCTGCAATAACTCAAAGTCTGAAAGGTATCTTAACTGCAGGAATGTTTAAAAGTGGAAAATATATTTCAAGTAAACTTGGAAAATGGATGTTTGGAAAATGAGTAATGATGGTGATAAAAGGGATAAAATAGAAATAAAATTTGTAGATAAATTTGAATATAATTTTGGGAATAAATTGAAGATATAAATGAAACAAAAGAATTAATAGATATAAAGTAATGGATGGATAAAAAATAATTTTATTAATTTTACTATTTTTTTACTATAGCAGCAGAGAGTGTGACTGGACTTTAGTCCTCCATTTTTTCTGCTCTTTAGCATCTATATTTACAGTGTTCTCTCTTTTTTTTTTCCACTTTTTAATGCCTATTAAAATATTTTAAAGTCTTATTATCATTAATGATATATATATTAGAATGTAACTAAAATCAAAATAATAACGAATCAACTCTAACCACTAATTTAGTAATCTACAATAAAAGATTTTTAAATTTTAACATTCTGTACATACTGAAAAAACAAATATTAACAATAAAATAAAGATGAATAAAGTTTCATGAGATAATAGCATTACTTCACAACAGACTTGAGACATAATCTCTTACTATAATATATATTTTTTAAGATGTTTCTTGATTATACTTGCACCTGAAATTAAATTTTGGAGACAAAATAAAATGATTGACAAAATGTTTTTCATAAAAGATTAAATTATTTACTTAAAACCTGATCACTCAGATAAATTCTTTGATTAAAAATACATTAGATTAGGTATTTATATATAAAACAGATATTTTAAAAATCTCAAAAAGTTGAAATATACATTTATTTTGGGAACATGTATAGTCTTGATTATACTTACACCTGAAATTAAATATATATAGTTTTGGGAAACGAAATAGCATCATAGAATTATTTTACTTAAAACCTGAAATCTTATGACCACTTGGATAAATTCTTTGATTAAAAATACATTAGGTATGGGTAAATCTCAAAAATTCAAAATATCCCAAAATCCAAAATAAATTTTGGAAACATGTATAATTATGATATAAAATCATCAATATGAACAGGATACTGACCACTCATTGAACAAGTAGGTTTTCTGCAATCAATACAAGGACTAAGTTTATAGCATTTTTATGAAAGCAATTTCAGGTGAGTACGTACAATGATATAAACAGAATAGTTAACAAAGAACAAGTATATTTAGTGATCATTTTTATAGATAAGATAAGTATTTAATTGGAAAGATCTTTTAGCTAGTCAAGTAATTAGAGATAATAATTATCTGGAAATTTAAGAAAAGTATTTATGATTTCTACTTTGCAATAAAAAATTAACCCTCATTCTATGAGAAATAATTTTATATGTATTGGAAATACTATATTCTGCATATTAGAAACCAATAAGATTAATGAAACTTACTCTTATTTCAGGAGTCAAAGATAAATGCAAAGGGTTTATATCCAATTTTTCCTGTTATAATTATTATAATAGATCACCTGAAAGATACAAATACCTTACATCTGAATACTCCTATTAAGATAAAAGCCAACATTCATAGATATTTTTATCTAAATTGTCTAAAATCCTTATATAGTTTCTAATTCAGATGTCACAATTAAATTTGAGACTTTATTTTTATATAATATATTTAATTACAAACATATCCCTGCTATGTCATGGTTCAATATCCTCATCTCAAATATTAATGGGAGAAAGCACCACAGTTACTACGCCAAGAGATAATTTGTTCTTATATATATATATATATATATTTTTATAGATTTTATTTTGGTTCTGAACTATTTCAAGAAAACAATTGAGATTCAAAATTTCTAGAAGCTAAAATAAGTGTACCCAACAATGATGAAGATGATGATAACGATGATGAGGATAAATATGATAATGAGGAATCCTCTGATGGTGAGGAATATTGTGATTTATATAGCGTGAAAAAAACAAAAATAAGTAAGGAAATTAATTCTTTACCACCTGCTGGGATTTTACCCAAGCTTGAAATTGTAGACCAACATATTATGTGATTCCTCATTATTCAGAACGAGTAATTAATTAACAGATTTTAAACATATTATTTATAAAAGTAAGCCTTGCGATGAGGCAATAATTAAAGCTGTAATAGAAAAATTCCCATACTTAGCCCTCAAAAATATTATTGAAGAAATATGTTTAATTTGCAATAGTGAACATAGAAATGGTACATATGGTATGAAAATAGGTATTATCTCGGCTGTATTTGCTCGAGCAAAAAACTCAAATTCACATCAGTAGAAGCATAGAATAAGCAGAGCTTGTGGGTGCCTAGATATAATCCATATACATCACTTTTTTTCTGTATAATCTTTCAGAAAAAGCACACTTCGTATACTACAAATAAAATTCATTTGGCCATCCAAAATAAAAACGAAATATGAAAAAAGTGCAAATTTAGTTGACCTTTAATTATAATTCAGCAGTTACATATTTGTTAATCTACCGATCTAAAAACCACTCTTCTATAGCATAAATCCTGTTTCAACTTAGATAAAAGCATTATTGATTAACATTGGCATCTATTAATTTGAATACTCCATTACAAGAATTTTTAGTATGTTCTCTAATCAAATGGATGGGGATTACATAGGCGTCTGATTTGTTATCAATCCTCCATGAAGAATTCCTACCAACTGATTGTTTTTATCAAAAACTGGAGAATCCGAATCTCCTGGAGCACCTGTATTGTAAATTAATGATAAATAAAAATTACAAAATATTACTCAAATAACCATTGACTTATCAAATGGTCCTCTGATACCATTCACCAGTAAGGCAGAGACTCTTCTTGGAGGGTCGAAGGCTTTGGATTTAATATAAACCCATTTATCTTTCATTTCTCCTTCCGTGAAAAATGTGCTCCTACTCACCTTACTAACTTTTACTATATTATTTGAATCATCGCTTACAGAGTCTTGAAACGGCGAATAGTTATTCAGGTTCTATATAATTCATTTGAATTTGCTGACACCCTGTTATCATCGCTAATCTTGTAAAAGGCGTAATAATCAAGGAGGTGTCCACCTTTGTCGACACTCAAGTAATTGTATTTTGTAACTGTGGCACAACCCTTAGAAAAAATCTATATCAAAAAAAATAGATATCAACCAAGTAAACTACAGAAAAGCCAATATATCACTATACTTACATCATCAAATATACCTGGTTGGCATACTGGGAAACCCTTCTTCCCAACTCCATATCTTGTGGTAAGAATGTAAATACCTCCAGATTTCGATTTTGTTGATTCTGTTTGATTCGATTTTGTTGATTTTGTTGATTCTATTTGATAATAATAGGCCTAGCGTACATCTGGTGGATTTTTTAATCTCCCAATGCTGATACTGGGCATCAGTTTTTCATGATAATTTTGATAAATGGTTTGACTATTCCATAATCAATAATTACAGGAAAGCCCTCAAACACAGAAGGCAAATAAAATTGTAATAATGATCCCTTCGGCATATCTAAAGTAACAACGATAACTTCTCTCTCATCGACCAACTCAAAATTTTCTGAATAAATTTCATCTCTTCCAAATTTCTCCCAAAAAGTACTCAGCAGAAAAAAGTTTTTTTGCGAACTACACTCTCCTGCCAAAAGTATTGGACCACCTGAAAATTTTTACTAAAATTTAAATGCTAATTGTGGCACAAAATTGCACAAACTTTTTTTTTATTAGATTCCCCTAAACTAGGACTATCATATGATATATTTGTGATAAACTCGAACGTCTATGCATAAAGAAATTTGACAAAAAATAATAAATTTAAGCTTTGATCGTTACCTATACCGCATTCGATAGATATTATAGATGCCAACTATCATATATTAAATTGTAACCAGAAACAATATCTATAACTTTAATTAAAAGCATTTTTTGTCATATCTAATGAAAATTTTGACTTTTAATTAGACGTGAATAAAAACGACCGAAATTTAATAAAAATTTTAAAAAAATAAAAAAAAAATCCGAAAATAATTATCGATCGTTCTACATATAAAAGTTTTTATTTACTAAAGTACCAATAAAAATAATACTAACATTAAAGCTGAAAATATACTGTATAGCATCTTATGTAAATTATTTAGACATATCAAATTAAAATTGAGCAAATTAAATTACAGAGAATAATTTTTGAATTTCTAGCGTTCAGCCGTTGATATTAAATCCAATTCGTAAATAAAAATTCTAAAAACTTTGTAAATGATGCACCACATTCTTGGCTATAAGATTAATTAGTAATACATTTGCTGTTAAATAATGAGTATTTATATGTAGTAACGTTTGATAGTTATTTTTTGAATTTTTCTTTAGCAAAATGATCGACAATAATGCCTTGTGCGGTGGGCAAATTTATTGTTGGCCATTTTATGTTTGATATTAAAAAATCCGAAAAATAACTATCAAACGTTACTACATATTAAAGTTCATTATTTATTAATAAAACAGCAAATCTATTATTAATTAATCTTATAGCCAAGAATGTGGTTCATTATTTACAAAGTTTTTAGAATTTTTACTTATGAATTGAATTTAATATTAACGGCTGAACGCCAGAAATTCAAAAATTATTCTCTGTAATTTAATCGTTAATAATTTTCTCAATTTTAATTTTATATGTCTAAATAGTTTACATAAGATGCTATATATTCTCAGCTTTAATGTTACTTAATATTATTTTTATTAGTACTTTAGTAAATAAAAAACTTTTATATGTAGAAACTATCGATAATTAATTTTTTCATTGGGAATATTAGAATAATGTTATACCGCATGATTGAAAATTTAATGTGCCCTCAAAAAAATTTCCTCAATCGATAAATTAAATTGTGCTTTTAAAAAGTGATGTAATAACTAAAAGAAGATGTTATTTGAAATTTGTTTCTGAATCTTATGAATGGAGAGAAGAGAGGTTTGGATAATGACGAATAGGGATAATAGAAGATCTTTTGAATGAGATCAGAGAGTTAGACAGTATATGGATTTTTAGATATAGCAATTATAGAATCATTTCTTCACGGTTTCACAAATTCAAATCTGCTCACTTGATAAATTAAGAGATATTTGAATTATTTGAATGGCAGTTAAGAATACTATTAAGGAAACTTGGTTTCAATAGTGCCTATTGATATAGCAAAATAATATTGCATAAGAATGAATGGACTTACTAGAATACAGAATAAGAGTAATTTATGAGTGCTGGACTGGCAATAATTTTTCGTTAAATAAATATCCAAAATATTGGAGGTTTTTGTTTGCAATGTATATACCTGCACTAGCGTACACATAGATAAAAGTTCAATACGGGGTTATACTTTATTTACAAGTCGCATAAGAGGAAAATAATCAACCAAAAGCCATTTGATAATTATTCTCTATTCTTTGACTTACACTAAGCCTAATGTTGCTTCTACTTTCTTTTGATTTTGCTAAACTAGATACCTGAAGAAAATGACTATACAAAATATTTCAATTTAGAAAAATATTGATTCCGTAAAATTACTTTTGAATTTGAACTAATTTCACAATATACATGCATTAATATATATATACAAAAATGGAAACTGTTAAAAATAAAATTTGTATATATATTATTATTTATTTATTCCTAAGCTATCTACCAACAAAATTATTCTATATTAGCTTTCTCCTGGACCTGGTTTAGAACTTCTTATAGGAACCATGCCATGCATTATATCCAAGAACCTAACCTATAATCTATATTTTCAGGCTTAAAATGCGGATTTCTTAAATATCTAGTGTATTCTCTGAGAAATACATCTGTCACAATACCAAACTCTTTATAATAATTCATTTTACTAAACTTTTTTTTCGTATTTTAATAAAACTTCTCTGCACGTAAAGTCATTACAAAATCAGGAAGGACACACTCGACCCGTTCTCTCTATTCTTGAAACTTTTCAGAAATGGAAATGGAAATATAAATATAGATTCTATCTTTTCATTTGACTTATCACAAGGGTAGAACTAAAACTCAAATTTATTTCAAAGGTGAGATGTTTTAATGCTTCTTGAGATGATTTGTTATTTACTTTTAAGCAATCACAATAACATAAAATAATGACCAGATGAGGAAATGGAAGGTTTGACAATAAATAATACATTAACATACACATCTGCAACAAAATACAAACCAGGAAACCACAGTTTCTGCTCACGACTTGAAATGCCAGCTACATATCAGTAACATAAAAAAAGAAGGCAAAGTTGAAAACAATTTCACTATATATTCGGTGTAGATCAAACGAGTAAATAGTTTTGATGATAATCTGCGCATAGAAATTATGTTAGATATATAATTTACCTGCAATCTGTCATTAAGAAGATATTAGAAAAAAAAAGCCAATTAATAATATTCTGTCAAAAGAAATCAAAAAATCCAAGGATAATTTAATCATATATTTTATTATCTTAAAAGAAAAAAAAATCGGTATATATGCTGTATACTGATACTGTAATTATTTAATATATTATTTGAATATATATTGTGTGCTATGCTAGATGAGCTACTCATCATTTTAAGTAGTACTTTAGAAAAATTATTTAATTATTCTAATTTACAACTTTATATTGATTAATTCTTTTAATGATTCATTTGCTTTTGCTTTTTCTTTATTTAACCAGTATATAGCTTTTACAATATCATTCTCAATTTCAATTCTTCATAGAAATATTTTCAATTAAACATTGACTATAAGTATAATCATTTTCAGCTGCTTTAAACCATTTAATTGTCTTCACTTGATCCTCATCAATTCCTTTGTCCGTTGCATAGCGAACTCCTAAATCATACTGTGCCATTGAATCTCCATTTAAATGCCTCTTTTTCATCTTTATCCACATCTATACCTTTGGTATTACAGCTATATTTCCAGCAAGAGCAGAGTTTATATACGATTGAAATCCTTTAGCTTTGTCTCCTATTCCATTGATATAATACCAACTAACTTTAAAATTGTACTGCCAGATATCCTTCTTTAGAAGATTTTAAAAACAATGCTTTTTCTACAATTTTTTTTTTAACACTAAATCCACTTCAATAACAATATGCTACGTAATTAAAGTCATATGGGACCCTTTATCAGTAACTTTAGAATGAATCCGAAATTTCTTTTTTATATTCTTTTCAACACACACTTGACTCACAAATTCGTAAGGTGGATCCTATTTCTTTGATGATGAATTAGCAAATGAAATATTTTTCATATCAATTATTTCACTAACAGCTAAACTAAAGAATTCAAATACCATTTGTTATCAATATAGGTAAAAAAAAAAAACCTAATAAGCTAGTTAAACAATGAATGAGATGGATGAATAATCATTTAATAATATAAGAACTTTAACTGGATTCTTGTTGCATTATCATTTACTGAAATTAAGTATTTTTAGAAAAGATATTATCAAAGAAAATGAAGATAGTTGATAATAATATAATTTTCAATTTTTAAACTGGAACAGGTTATTATTATTATTACATTATGCAACTTTTTTATATATTGACTTCAGCAGAAAAAAAAAAAATACAATAATTATTTATTTAGAAATTATTTAATAGATTATTTTGAATACAAATATAAAATTATATAATGATGATTATTATTATTATTTACCATTTTATTATTATTTAATAGGTAAAAATATAATAACAATATAAATTAAAATATTTGGCCAATACAAACAACAAATGAAAGGAAGCAAATAACTACCAAATAATTCATATTCCATTATAATCCAACTTAAAAATTCTTCTAAATTTGTACCTGATATAATTAATATTCCTGGAGGTGAAATAATTATTAATATTAATAATTGTAAACAATTAAGTAATAATAAAGATGATTTTTTAGATAATATTTGTTGACTTGATGATGATAATAATAATAAAATAGAATCAATATCATCATTATCATTATTATCTTCAACTATTTTTTCTTTTTCTTTTTCTTCTATTTCTTTCTTTATTTCATCCAAAAAATTATTTTTTACTACTGAATTTTCTATAGGTGATGAAGATGATGAGTTTATGAATTTAGAATTAACAGTAGAAACTTTTGAATTTATGAAATGATGTTGTTCTGTTTGAAAATTATTATTAAAGTTATAATTATTTTTGTTTTTGTTGTTGATAGGTTGAAATAATGAAAATGGGATTATCACCATTAATGATACAAACACTGCCAAACTAAAATTCAATACCGATAAACAAGATATTATCATTGCAGTAAATGCCAAAGTAAATGATTTCAATATTATCCAATCTGGAGCTGCATCAGGTTGTAATAGTTTTTTTTGTTGCTGTCGTTGTTGTCTGTATTCTTTATTATCATGAATTCTATTGTGAAATGCTTTTATTAAACCTATTGTTACTATTGCTGAGATATTTATTGTTATCGTTAATGTGAATAAATAACCCTATAGAAAAAAAAAAGATATAATAATAAATTAATAATTGAAAAAAAGAGGTAAAAAAAAGTGTCAATGCAATTAAATTATTATTTTACCTCAATTCCAAAGAAATTTGATATTTTACTCAATATAAAATGATTCTTGACTACAAAGAAAATAAGAAATCCAGCAAAATGTGCCATAATCAATGCAATAACGGGAAATAAAATTTTTCTAGGTCGTCTAAGATATGCTGTTGATGATGAAGAAATAACATCAACAGACATTTTATTATCGTCTGTTACTACTGCATCTTCGACCGCATCGGCGGAATTATCACCCGTGGCTGCCCATAATTCCAAAGCGTAAAAAATAATATCATTAAGGATTTCACAAAAACATCATAAAAAATATCATTAAAAAGAAACATAATTTTCGAATTCAAATTCAAGGATATATGGAAAATAAGGCCAACAGTAAGTAACATAGCAGGTGGTAAATATGATCCAATAGATATATATTTTTCTGGCGATGGTAACAGATAAAAGAAGAAAGATTGATGAAGATGTTCCAATAAATTATTTAAACTTCTAAATGTTGGTTCCACAATACTGCTCAAAATATAAGAATTTATAGAAAATAAAAATTAAATTAAAAATTAACACAAATATGAAGATATTATAAAAACATAAGTAAAGAAGACTTACGATCCAATTTCCAAAAAACTATAAGGATGTTTACTATTAGATGAATCAGTGCGACCATATAAAGTGATTGCATCAATTTTATATCTATAAAATAAAATATTTAATAATTAATTAATTATATTTTTAATAAATTAAAAAATAAATATAAAATATAATATTAAAATAATAATAATAATAATAATAATAATAATAATAATTATTATTATTATTATTATTCTCTAACCTAAAAAATAATCCATGGCTTCCAGTTGGATGACCTAAAGCTTGATATTTCATTGTTGTCAATAAATTATCAAATGAGGAATAATAATCACCTGAATCATTTGGTACGTAAGGATGACCGGAATCATGCAAAGAAATTGGAATATGATGTAGATAACTTGATCCTCGACAAATACGAATGACAGTATTTATTAAATCCAAATTAGGAAGTTGGCCATTTAAACCCTCTATAAAGTATTATAAAATATTATAAAATATTGTAAAAATATTATAAAACGTTGTAAAAATATTATTATAAAATGTAAAAAATATATATTATTATATTATTATAATTTACCAAAAAATATTCCCAAAGTTTTATAATCATCAACTCCTGGAAAGTCAAGATTTATTGCTGCTTGAATTGCACCTGATCTCAATAATAGAGGATCAGCCATTATATCTGATACAATGTGATAATAACAATTATGACATTAATAATATAAATTATATTTTAATAAATAATGATATAATATTAATAAATATTAATAAATATAATATAAAGATATGAAAATACCTGATAATTTATGATCATGATATGACTCCAACCATGCTTGAACACCTGCTTCACCTCCATCTGTTATTAGAATTATAATATCCTTTGACCAATATGTGTGATCTAATATATTTATATATATTAACTATATAGATCAATATCCACACATCTATTATTATTATTATTATTCATATATTATTATCAAATCTCACCTATATCAATATCATTAAAAAGTACAAAAATTATAATTATATTAATTATATTGTTTTTTTTTCGACGCTAAAAAATTCGATTCATTTATGTTTAAAATTACCAGTGCTTTTAAAAAATTTTCCTATGGATAAAATTGCCGAGATCCCATTGATATTTACTAATTTATTAATAATTGAAAGTATGATAAACATGATAAATATATCAAATATAGTAAAGATTTATATATATATATATATAAAATATAAATTATTATTATATATTTTAATTAATAATTAAATTTACCGGTTATTCCATCCTTTGATATCCAAGGTGCACTAAGAACCAATGCTTCGGTTCCATCTACTCGGGGTGCATTTAAAATTCCAAATACATTAACTCCAGAAATAATCTATTAAATTATAAAAAAATTTAATTAATTAATTAATTAATTTATTTATTTATAAAAATTAATTTATATATTACTGACCTTCCCCGAAGAAAATACTGTAAAATTCTGTTTAGCTGTTTTTAATCCAAATTTTCTTAATTGATTTTCTATATATTCTGATTTCCTATAGTCACATTTACATATTTTATAAATAAACCATAATAAATCCATAAATTCATAATATTTATAATAATATTATTATTATTTATAAAATATTGTACTTACTCAATATTAGAAGAATTTGTTATTGATACAATTTCATTTCTATATGTTACCGCTTCATGAACTTGCGGCCAATTATAATATGTATTTACCTAATAATTAATTATTAAATTAAATTAATTGTTAAATTATATTGTTATTTAAATTATTATTTAAAATTAATTGTATTAAAAATTATATTATTCAAATAAATTAATAAAATATTAAATTAAATTAAATCATTAATTAATTAATAAATAACAAACCTGACCAGGAAGAAGAGCATTTTCTGATATATAAGTATTCTTACTATATTGCTCTAAGGGAAAAACAAATAACCAACCCACTCCAATTACAAATAAGACGTAACTACGATAAAAATAATTTTTTTTTTAATAATTTATTAAATAATTATATTATTATTAGACAAGCACATAACAAACCGAAGTTTAGGAATCCACTTTTTTAAAAAGCGAAATATTCGTCGACGTTTCTGAAGTCTCTTGGCGAGAATATGATTGTGCATGATTCTATTTTTTTTTTTTGTAATGAAAAATTTTTGAAGAAATTGAAAAAAACTGATCAATTCTTGGTCCTACATATAAAGTTGGGACGTGCAAAATTTTAAACTATATCGGGGAGACAGACAGGTAAAGTTTTTTTAAACGGTTTAAACATTTTTGGAATAATTAAAAAAAAAACTTTTTATTTAAAATCATTGTAATATGTTTTATTATTAAAATGCCAAAATAACCAAAATAACCAAAATAACCAAAATAATCAAAAATAATCAAAATAATAATCAAAATAATAAATCTCAACATCAAAAATCATCAGCTTCTTTAAGATATTGAAAGTAAACACCCCAACATATAATAATACAGGTCCATCTCCAAAATGGATTTTCAGTATCCAGGTAATCATAATGACAAAGTAATAGATGAGTATAAACAGCAATAATCATAGGTGTGGTTAAAGAAGTAATAAAATTCAAAATTCGTAGACTCTAAATAATTTATTATAATTTATATTATAATTTATATTGTAATTTATATTAACAATTAATAGAAAAATGTATAGTAAAAATTTAAAAAAAAAATTTAATAAAAGATAAAAAAATAAAATTCTTACCTTTTCTTCCTCCTCTTCTCTATTTCGAATTTCTGCTGATTTATTTAGTTTATAAAATGTTATCGATACCACGGTAATTCGATAAACAAGTGAAATGAAAACTTGTAACGAAAGTGCTTTTTGTATTGCTATTATTGATCGAATATTTCCCACAAAATCAAATATCCATTTTATAATAACTTTACTATTGATACTATAGTATTCAACAATGTTATTATTATTATCATTATTATTATTATTATCATTATTATTATTATTATTATTATTATTATTATTATTATTATTTAGTTATTATAATCTTATAAGTTATATTTATTTTTCTTACTTTAATAAAGATTCTACCAAAGAAGAAGACAAATCACTAAAATTTCTGAAAATAATCAATGGAGAAGGTGACATGTTGTTCTCTTTATCCATTAATACCGCAATACTATCTTCTTTTCTGATGTTGTTGTTTTTATTTTGATTCCAATTAAATGATAACATATATATACAATAAATAGTGTAAGCAAACTAAAATTAAATAATTAATTAATTAAAAATTAAATAAAATAAAAATATAACATGAATTATTACTAAATTCTTACTAATAATGCACCATCTGTTATCATTCCATTATTATCAATTATTATGGATTTATAAGTTAATACTAATGATAAAGTTATAATAGAACCAATCAATGTTGCAGTCAGAATATCCATTCCTGGTATTTGATATGTGAAATATAAAAAAAAACATGATATAGCGTATGTCAAAATTGATCCAGTTAAAAAAAAATATATCTATCGTGAAAAATGAAGTAAATTTATTATATTTATTTATTTATTTATTAAAATTAATAAATGATTGATTCAAATAAGGATTACTCACCGTTATTGTATTATTTTCATCAAGAAGTTTTCTCACTGAGTATCTACTAATTAAAATCACAAGTGCAGTAGCGATTGCCTCCACTAATGAAAATAAGGGTGCGGAATAAATTAATAATTTTTCATAAAAATTTAAAATCAATGGTAATTCATCATCTTTGACGGTTTCTTCCATTATCGTAGTATATGTAATTCGAAGTGAATGAAAAAGAAAATATGGAATTATGAATGGTTGAGATAACGTTAGAACTTGGGGCTATTATTATTATTTAAAAAAAAATTATTATTATTATTATTATTATTATTATTATTATTATTATTATTATTATATTTTTATGTTATTATTCTATTTTCTATTATCAATTATTATCAATTGTTATCAATTGTTTTCAATTGTTATCAAATTTTAATTTTTTTATCAATTATTATCTATTATTAGGAATTATTATCAATTTTTTTTTTTATCAATCATCATCATTTTTATCTACTTACCACTATCCAACCTAAACCCTCCCTTTTCCACCATATCACTTTTGAAAAACCTAACAAGAAGTAATAAATAAACAACGCGAAAGATAAGGATAAACCTGTCGCACGTCCACCAAAATCAAATGCTATAGGTAATAAAAAAAAGAATAATATGTGGTTTGCACTGTTGAAAAAGTTTAGTATTCGCATATTTAACGAAGTGAAGCAGATAATAGATAAGTGATAGAGAAACAGACGGAGAAATGAGATAAACGATGCGATGAACAAGGAAAACAAGAAAAATGGATTGACATCCGTGTCGATCCGTACGTGTCACAAATCTTTTTATTAATTCACGTGGTTTATTTCCATAATATTGTACATAATATTTTTTATTGATTTTTTTTGAAGTAATTGAAGTAATTAAAAAGTTTAATCAATAAAATGATAAGTAAGAGTTTATTCTTCAGAAGGTAATAGCATTACTTAGTTCAGATTATACATGGTAAAAATTATGGAATTACCCAAGTCATATGGCAATTGGTTGATGTGAAATTTTTAAGGCCAAAATAATTTTGACAACACGTGTAGTTCAGATAATAGTAAATATTAAAGATTATTAACTATTTTGTACTTTTTATACGAAGATTAAAAATATAAACATATCCCTATTATATTATATAAAAAATTCACTTTTATAATATCATCTTTTTTTTCCTTGAAAAGTACCTCGGGTTCCTCAAATCTTCAAAATTTGTAAAATAAATAGTGAAATTTTTTTGAAATCAAATTGTTCAATTTAATTGCAAAAATTTAATTCTCCATTTATTTAATTTCTAACTGATGCATAACATTTATTCTCTACCAGTCCAGTAACAGTATACTTTGATTATTATTTCCCAATACAATTTAACCAGTCCAGTTTTGTGCGACTTGATTTTTTATTAATTTTATTTTGTAATCAATTACTCGCACCTTTTTGGAAACTTTCAATTGATCAAGTGGTAAAGTTATAATTATGACTTAATTTATTTTATTATTGCTTAAAACTGAAATTCTCTCTTTCCAACTTGAGGATGGAATCGGAAAGAATCATTTTAAACGTTGGTGGCATTAAGGTAACTTTTGAATGATCTAAGAGATTTCGAAAATTTTATTAATCTAAATTCCGAATTCACGATTTCCTTTAATAAAAAAAAAAATTTGGGGTTTTTTTTTTTTTTTTTTTGTCTACTTAGTATCAAACATATCGTTCGACATTAACATTATATCCCGACACATTACTTGCTACTATGTTCCAAGATAGGAACAAATCGTTAATACATCCAATAAACAATAAAGGCAATGAATATTTTATCGATCGTAATGGATACGCATTTCGTTACGTCCTTGAATATTATAGAACAGGTCAAATATTTTGGCCAGATGAAAATGTAAATAATAATACTTCACTAAATTATTGTCATTGTAATCATTATTACAATAGTAATAAACAACAACAACCACTAACAGTTTTAGTATCAAGGAAAGAATTAATGATAGAATTAGATTATTTTCAAATTCCTTTCACGATTCCAAAGGAAGAGAAACCAAGATTGGCCACAACTGATGAGATGGCCGAAAAACTTGATATTTTCGTTAAAGCGTTAAACTTAGTGATCTACTTCATGAGTGAAAATTACAAAACACATCTTTCACTAAAATTTTATGCATTTCATGGATCCCTTGAGAAATATCAATTTCCCACATCTCTTCAAGTTGAACCTTTCATACCAACGGTATTAAATATAATGAAACCTTTTGATGATAGTGGATATCCGATATTAAATATATTTGGATCAGAGATACAAAGAAAGTTAAAGAGACAATTTCCTCAGATAATTTGTAAATTTTATAAAGATGTAAGCTCTAATTGTTATGGACTTTCTATCAGTTTAAATCTTAAGACTAATTCTAAAGAGATTTTGCAAAAATCTTCTCTTCTTAAATAATCATAATTAAAATAAATTATAATTTAATCATTTTTTTCATGTAGCTTTTATTATTATTATTAATTAATATAATTCAAAATAATAAATCAATGAATTGTTTTTATCCAAAGTTATCCAAAGATAGAAGGTTTCATTATGCCATGACAAGTGTATTTCATGACAAGTATATTGATATTAATATTCTCAATATCTTTATTTTTTTTCTTGTATTTTTCTTGCACACGTTGCTGCCTGTAAATTTTTAATAAATTTAAATATTGAACAAAAAAAAAAAAAATCCAGTACGTAATATAGTTATATCAAAAGTCCATAGAATATTCCTAATACTAAATGCATATTCCGCCGAATTTTGGTTCATATAGAAAAATTTTTTTGGGACCGAATAAAGTGATGATTCCTAATTTACTTTATTTCTCTGCTTGTAATAAATATTGGTTTCCAAGAATTGAATTCAAATATTGCATGAACTATAAGGAATATGAAGGTTTTATTTTTCTGTATTTATAAAGAAAATTTCAATAAACTTGGCATTTAAAACACACGTCATGAAAAATTTAATTTTATGCGTTTGCATTGGTGCAAAGACTTTTTTTAATTTTAAAAAGTTAAATAAAAAAAAAAATTTGAAGAATAAATTTTACAAAAAAAAAAAAAAAAAAAAGTGGTTGACATCTCTACAAACGTGACGTGTGTAAAAAAGAAAAAGAAAAAAATATTTATTACAAAGAGATTGATATATAAAAATGAAATAATGTATAAAAAAAAAAAAAATCTTATCTATAATTCCGTAATAAAAAAAACTTGTCCTATTTTACTTGTTTAAAAAATGTCCTATGTACTTAACCGTAAGCCATAATAATAATTACAACGTGTTGATGATGAAAAGAAATGAAAAATAAAAAATAAAAATAAAATAATAATAATATTATTCTGCTTAAAAATCTTTACTGATTGGGAAACTCGTCCCAAAAAAACATATATATATAAAAAACAAACTAAAAATTTGTCTGGAAAATTTCCATTCAATCAGTCAATTTCTCAACCAGAATAAATGTAAATTGCAAAACTTTTTTACAACTAATCCAAAATAATTCCCATAATTAAATAAAATTTAACAATAGGTAAATGCTATACAGTACAATAATAAAAAAAAATATAAAATCTTGTCACATAAATCCTAAATAAAAATAAAAAGTATTCCACAAAATTGGAAAAAAAGAAATAAATATATTTATAAACCAACAATTCTTTTTCTTAAAAAAAAAAAAGTCGGATAAAAAAGGTAAAGAATAAAATACAAAATAAAAGGGGGATTTTTTTGACAAGATAATTTTGCAAGTCAAAGAAAATGTTGGTTTTTCTTATCGCTAGGATGAAAAATCATCATTATAAACTAAATAAAAAATGTAAATATAAATACAATATCACTATAAAGGGTAGCATTTTCAAGAATGTTATGAATTGGCGAAGAAAGAAGCCAATGATAATGACGAAGAAAGTCGATTTTCGGGTTTGGGTTTCACTGATGGATATTGTGCATTTACATTGACGGATATCTCTTCAGGATCAAATGGCTCAATTTCCGAAATATCGGCAAATCCATTTATCAAATGATTTAATTCTTCCAATTGTACGCTCATAGAATTTCGAGCATTCTCACTTTCTAATAACATTGATTGTACTTGTTTAAGAGTTTCTTCCGCATTTTCTACACGTTTGACACAATCCTTTGAACATGTTACACGTTCATTTGAAGGATTGAAAAAATTTAAAAATGATGTACGTCGAGGATTTATGGGCATAGAGATAGTATTAGAAGTGGTAATATTATTATCTTCATCAACTCCTTGTTGCCATGATAATTTTGCTTTTAAAATTTCGATTTCTTTCTTATATTTTTCATTCTCTTTGGACAATTTTACATTATCAAACCTTAAAATTTTTACATCTTTAACATCACTTTCCATAGTACTTTGTTCATATAATGCTTGTGTTGCTTCAACATCAAGTCGTTCAATTTCCGTTTGTAAAAAGATATTTTTATCGAGTAATGCTTTATGTGATTGGGTGGTATTAGTGATAACCGTTTCCAATTCTTCAACATGTTTAATTAATTCAATATTATCATGCAAGAGATCATCCTTTCCTCGTTTGACTCTATTTAATTCTTCGGTAAGCTCTGCTTCTCGTTGTAAAGATTTCTTTAATTCAATCGCCCAATCTTCAAGATTATACTTTCCAAACTTTTGATCTTCGGGATTTAACGAATTTATCATTGTAATATAAGTGGGGACCGATGAACGTCGAGTCATACGTGGAGATTCTGTCAAATAAGAAATTTGTTGTTTGATAAATTGATCAACTGTTGGTTCGAATGGTGATGATGCAAATTTGGAAGAATGTCGTCCAACGCTTTCATCATTTAAAGTCGTAGCTGAATCAATTGAAAGCACGGAAGCTGAAGACATTCGCTTATTTTCTTTCTCCAAACCTCGAAGTTTTGATTTCATTTCTTCAGCTTCGGTAACCAGATCCATTTTCTCCATTTTCATATTCACCAATTGATCAGTTACATCCGCATGTTCCTTTTGTAACTGTGAAAGCGCAGTAACGAGATCTTCGATTTGTTGATGTAAAACTCCCATAGTAGCACTATTTGAAAAGAATGATGTTGTGGTGGGAGTAGATGATGGAATTGCTTCACTTTCTGAAGAATTTGAAGATTGGTCACTTGCGGTGGTATTGATGTTTTCGCTTGAGGACGATTCTACATCGTGTATCGTGTTTACAGAACTTCTTGACCTTGAACTGGGAATAACATTAAGTGTCCACCGTTTTTTCTCCTTCTTCTTTTCCTTTTTGTTTTCCTTTTTGTTTTTGTTTCTACCATATTTATTATTAAACCTTGCAGCCAATTCCTCAGTATGCTTCTTTTGATCTTCTAAATCTTTTACATATACATCGGAAAGTTGATCCAGTTTTGCCTTGGTAATCACTGAACTTAATGCCATGGCATCCTTAATTAATCCTGTTGGTTCATTATTATAAGATTCATAAAGTTTGGATGTCAAGAATTCCAATAAATCTTCGAATTCTTCAAAACTCAATAATTTAGCTTCATTATTTTTCAATAGAGCAATGGCCACACGCATAATAGTTTCTGGTGCACCTTCAGCAAATACAACATCATAAATTCGATATACCAAAGGTAATGGATATGTATAAGCGAATAGTGACAAAAACCATTGAGAAGCGTACATAGCGGGATGAACTCCATGTTTTTGAAAATGAGCATGAAGTTCAGGGCATATTTGTGAGAGAAGTGCGGAGAATTGATAAAGCCTTTGTTGAAGACCTTCCATTTTTAAGGTAAACATAGTACGCATATCGTATGTTTCCATTAATCTAAAAAAAAATAATAATAATAAGTAAAAAAATATAGATATTATTATATATTATAATTAAATACTTGATTTTTTCTTAAAATATATAAAAATATATATATATATATATGTTAAATCTATAAAATCTATAAAAAATGCATACCTAACAAATACGCAGAAGGCTTGAGCTTCACCCATCTAATTGAAATAATAATAGAATCACAATTATCATAATTTAATATGAATAACATATAATCGTGAATTAATATTATTTATTATCAAAAAAAAAAAAAAAAAAATTATTTCACTTACGTTCATTAATAATGGTCCAACCAAGAAACCTAATCCTTGACAATATCCCACCAAAGGATCATATAAACTATATGCTTTTAGTACATTCCAAAGCATTGTTTGACCGTTACCATTTTCTTCTTTAAACATTTCAATGGTAGGAAATGTTCTTGCGAGATCTCGTTGAATTATTTTATCATAAGGTGATGATTCTGATAATAATTGAGAATACATGGTTTCCAGGTAGGTAGAAGAAGCTTGACACATTGATTGCCATAATAAACCTCTCAATTCTTGTGGTAAACCTTCTTGTAATTTTGCGGCTAGGAGATGAGGTAGTTTCGTTGCCACTGAAGTATAATCTTGAATTAATGCAGTCCAGAAATCCAAGTCGATGTTTTCACCATCGAGTACAGGAAGAATTACTTCATCAGATGATTGTTCAATGATAATGGCAGGAATTGTAGTTTCTAGATTTGCCTTAAATTTAGGGTCATTATCCAACATATCATTTTGTCTTTCAAGACGAGCAAGAAGAAATCCAGTAGAATCCTAAATATAAAAAATATATAAATGATAACGTAAAATAAATTAAAATAATTAAATTCGTTTAAATGATAAAAATTAATTTTTCGAAGAAGAATTATCAAAATACCTGTGGAGGTAATGAAGAATTTTGTTCTTCCAATCTGGCAATTATTACATCCATATTTTCACCTTTTTGTAGAGTATTTTTTCTTGTTGGACTCTTGACGGTCATCTTGCGACGTGGTTTAGAGATAGATTTTTCATTTTTTGCTTCATTTTTAACTTCAATTTTTTTTGTTTTCTTTGTATTTATATTCTTAACATTATTGGAATCGCTAACATTGGAATTATTATTGATATCATCATTACTGGTTGATGACTTTGATTGAAAAGTTTCAGAACGACGTAATTCTAATATCTTTGGTGACAAAATTAGGGGAGCTGAGGAAGCGTCAGAAGAAGTGATAGTAGTTCTCAATGGACTTGGTCGTTCCTTTAGATGACGGTTTTTAAAAGCCAAGGTTAATTTAGGAGGAGCAGAATGCCTTCTATTTAATAGATTGTCAACTCCCAAGGAGGGAACATCATCACCAGTTTCTGCTGACATATTAGTTTTTGTTTTTTTAGTCTTTTGAGATGATATAGATTTTTTTTTATCCAATTCAGTTTTTGTGCGTGAGATAGTACCAATTGACTTTCGTTTTTCTTTTAAATTATTATTAACGACTTGCTTATTATGAGAACTAGAATTAAGTTTGTTTTTTGCTCGAGTAGTATTCTTTGTTGTTGCTGTTGTTGTTGTAGTAGACTGTAACTTTTCATCAACTACAGTAGTTGTTGAAGAATTATTTGACTGGGAAACCTGCCCAGGTTTATTATCAATAACTAATGTAGAAGAAGTTTTATTTGAAATAGATTTAATATTATTGCAATTATTTATAATAGCTTTCTCGGAGGAAGAGTTATGAAGTTGAATAATGGAACTGTTATCTTCAATTTCTATCGGTAACAAATTTCCTTCGAAGGAATGTTGCACAATTTCCCAACCTTCCTTCTCTTGTTGGTTAACGCCAAACAAATTTTCCGACCGGGATGAAAATTCTTTAGTAGGTAAAGACTTTTGTAATGTCATTGTTTTTTACAATTTATATATATATAATTTAAAAATATTATATAATTTATTCCAGATAACTTTTGCTAATAAGGGACAATAACAGGTTTATGGTCAGAGATAGAAAAAAAAAGTCAGAATAGGAAAGAAAAAAAAAAGAATTTTTGAATGTCGAGAGTAATTTGTTGAGGTTAGTAAAAAGGAAACTTTACTCTACTCTATTAGACGCAAAAAAAAGGCGGGACTTTTTTAACGTTTGAAAGAAGAGAATGAAACGTTCCACTTTCTATAAAAGGAATTCAAGCCGGATCAGCTTAATTGGATAAATAAAGCAAAACGCGCATTTAGATATTTGTATTATAAAATACCGAAGATACGACAAACATAATAAATTTAATAAATTTGAAAGCAAATTTGTGGAATTATTAGTAGAAAAAGATGATGTTACAAGTAATATAAGTAATATTAACACCAATTAAATAATAATAATAATAATAATAAAACTGAACTGATGTAATGTTACCTCCAATTTTAATTGTCAAACCGTAAAATGAAGAAATCTCTAAAAACACATTTTGCATTTTATTAGTTTTAATCTTTAATTATTCAATTATTCTTTATTCTTCGACACATAATACATTGTCCTCAATCCTTAATTTTCCCACTCCTTTATAATCTTACTTAATCAGGACAATAAAAGGTTTCTTTCTTAATTTTTTTTCTTTAAAAAAAAAAGTGAATGAATGAAAAAAATAAAACAATTATCGCTAATTTCCAAAAATAACTTGACGTATTCTATTATTCTATGCAAAAAATTTATTAAAAACCATACATGTGGACGTTTTAGGAAACCACTAATTATTTTTGACATATGTAATTGGATATTCAAAAAAAAATAGACAATATCAAAGGTTACAAATGTGCCACCAACATTCGAAATATAGATATATTAACGTTAACTTAAACCATAATCGTATAAATTATTCCTACCTCGATAAATTGATAGATTGGAAAAAAATAGAAAAAAAAATTCCAATGGTACTAATCATTTATATATCCGAAACTTGTTGTTATTCTCCTGATATTAAAGATTCAATGGTTTTTTTTTTTATAATTTTTCTATGCAATTATGCGAGGCAATGCTTATTTCTGGTGACGCAAGGAAAGTTTACTTTTTATTTGATCAAAACAAATTTCATGTAACGACATCTCAATAAGTGATGTTCAATAAGATATCAATAATATGGATACTCGATGGATTCTCGATTAGATGCTTAATGTGTGGTTGATGTCTAAGAAAGAGTTTGAATTTTATTTATTGTTTCGAACATTATTTTAGCCACTTTTTCATATTTAGAAAAACATATATGTATTTAAGATGTGTTAAAAAGTTATGTAAGAAAATAAAATTGATTAATGTTATGCGTAAACGCCTCAATAACCATACTAGCCAATGTACGTACAAACAAAAAAAAAACAAATAACAATACTGAAATTTTACCCATTCCATTAAAGAAATAGTTTTGTTACTATTTATTTAAAAATCACGTTAACGATTAAACTTAATATTGATTTGGGTTAATCGATTTAAAGTGAGGAATTTTTCTTCTTTTTGTATAAATTAAATTTTTTGCACTAAGGTAAATTCGGTAGTGTATTACGAAGCATAGCATCAACATCGTAAAGAAATTTTGTAACGCACAACTGGTAATATCCGATATAAAATATATACTCAAATGTAGTGTATATGCATATATATATATTTTTTTTTTGGTATTCACGGAACATCAATCTTACTTTTTATTTACAGTAAAAAAAACAATCAAGTTATTAAAAATACATATTATAAATAAAAAGTAAAAAGCGCTTGCTAAATTCATTCCTATCAAACCCGAGAAGGTTTAAAAAAATAAAAAAAACCAATACATCAGATTTAAGAAAGCTAAAGTTAGAAAGCACAAATGTACAGCGAAAATTCCCAATGCACCTATTTTGTTTTTTTTTTGTTGAAGAATTATTTAAAGGATTTATGTACTCTGAATCATGAAATATAAATATACAGTTTTCTTAATTTAATAATATTTTAAATAATATAAATATAGAATAATGGAAGAATTAAATGGATTGTAAAGAGAGTAAGTTATTATAAAAAATAAAAAGAATTTTTTTTTTTATTCGGTTCGGTTTTCTCATCCGTGATATATACATTATATTTCGTCGTAGGTTGAGAAAGACGTATCCATCGTTGTTTATTGATTTTTTTTTTTTTTTTTATTTATTTATTTGTTTATTATTTACTTTTTTTTTGTTTCATTTTTATTTTTTAGGAAATCGGAAGGCTAATTTTAATGACAAAAGTATGAATCAAATTTAGGGAAGAATTTCTCAAATATTGGTAAAGAATTGCCGGAATTCTTGTCAACATTCTTCAACTTTTTATAAAACAAAAAAGGATTGTTGGAATTTTTATTAATTTTATTTTCTTTCTTGGGAGGGAATTAATTTTTTTTGTTATGGATCAAAAAAATTCAACCACCCGTTTTATAAGATTTTTTTTTGAATCAATTTTTGGTTGAAAAATATTAATGCCAATTATAGACTCAATTCCTATTGTCTGCAAAATATAATATTGTTTAAAGCAATAAGAACAATAAAAACAATAAAAACAATAAAAACATATCAGATATTGTCAAATTTTTTTTAATATTGAAACTTATAAGAACCATAAATTAGATTTGTTGTGCTAAATAATAATAAGAACGTGAGTTTTCAACGTTCCTCGCTTCATGTCCTTTTCCGGAACATAAAATTATGCTCAATTGTCCCGATTGTGAGAGATTATAAATTGTATTATTGTCTTAAATCCCTTAGCATATGGTGTCACAATTTTCATACGTGAAACTTAAGAGATCAACCATAACATGATAAAAAAGAATATGAAGAAAGAAGCATTGAGTGAGATGTACAATCTAAAACATATCCAAACAGATAAGAATCAATATATACATTTAATTACCAATTTAATTAGATATTGTATCATTAAAACATTTTGTTTTCTTTATTTACTTTTCAAGAATAAAAAATCAAATAACTATATACATAATTTTATTTTTCAATGTAATTAATTAGAATATTACATTAAAATTATCCCGAACAAAAATATAAGTTCATACTTTAAAAAACATATCCTAACCTGAGGATATGCTAAAAAATAATTAGAAATTATAACTAACATTAAAAAATGAAGCAACTATATTACATGCAATAAATAGACAATCCAAAAGTAATAATGAAAAAAATGGGTTATCACAATATAATGATAATTGACAATTGTAATGCCTCCGACCGAACATCGCATCGTAGAAAGATGTAGACTGCAAGGCGTTACATGATAGAGCAGTAGTTGGTTGGATCACCGCCACCAGGTTTCTCAGTAGCTCCAAGAATAATAGGTCTGGAGGATTGCATTATAGAGCAATAATTGGTTGGATCGCCTCCGGAAGGTTTTTCAGTAGCGTTGGTAGTAGTGGTAGAAGAAGTGGCAACGATTTTTGGATTCATTTTTAATTGTGATTTTTTAAGTTTTTAGAACTTTGGAAGTTAAAAATGTGGAGAGTATGAGATATTTTTTTTTAAAATAATGTGATATTCGTTTTTTTTTAAAAAAAACTTTCAAAGTTTTAAATTTAAATATGAAGTTATTATTTTTTTATTTGTTAATAAAAGATTTTATTGTGAAAAAACAAGAGAGCAAAGAGGCCATATTTATAATAATTATCTTCATGTCATGTTAATCTTAAAGAAAGAATTATGAAAATTTAATTTTAACATTATGTTTCCTCACCATAATATTGTTATGCTTATACATGTTAATATTATTATTCAACGTTAATATTATTACGTGTCAACGCTAATATTATTATGCTTAAAATTTTTATTCTCTTAATATACTGAACATTATTACATTATGCAAATATGAAACTTGATAAAATATAACGTACATATCGTTGATAATGTTAATGATAAAATTTTCCTATTTGGGCCAATTGTCTCACTGCATTGTTAACATAAAGTTATTTTTGGTTTTATAAAAATATAATATAAACTATTAAAAGAATTTTATATTAAATGTTAATATTTATTATTTATTATGATAATAATTTAAAAATAGGTTTTTAATTTATATTTAATCGCTTGCTTTACTAAAGAGAAATTTATATATAGAAAGTGGTTTTTAATGTCTATTTCGAGTCATATTTCGATAAAAAATTCGAGTGGAGAAGACTGTAAATATTGATGCCACCTTTCCATGTTGAGTAATTGATTCAAAATTTTAGATGTGTTTATGATTAAATAGAGTTGAAATATATATTAATAAATATTAATGAATTTTTAATTTGTAAATTAACAGAAGATAAATTTACCTTTGAAATATAAAGTATTTACCATTATTACTGTCAAAGATGTCCAAAAATAATTAATTCAAGTTGTAAAATAGCAATTTTAAATAAAATAATTTCAATTTACGCAAATTTCCTCTTTTTATAATATTAAAATTCAACCTGTATTTTATCCTCCCGTATATTTGCTAATAAAGAATTTCAAGAGTGATTGATATTAAGTTATGTAAGCAATTCAATAATTCAATATATACTAACGTGTTGGTATAAATCCAAAAGTTTCATCTAAAAACTCTGTGGTAGGGTTTATTACTTTTACATTTAATCATTTCATAACATATCATCGAAGAATGTTGTCATTGTCCTCAATTTGATCCAAATCTCCCAAATTTAGGAAGATCAATGTTTTATGATAAGATAAAAAAACTTGTTGCAATTAGCCTTATCAGGAGATTAACGCAATTGTCTTTCAATTAAGTTTAAAGTAAAATATTATACAAAAGAATTACTTACATATATTTTCATAGGTTAAATAATTGCTAAGATTTGAAGCATTAAAATATCTAACATTTAACTTTTTTGATTTAAACACGCGGGCCAGAATTGTTGGGATCCATATTAATAATCCGAATAACTATTGTCCTACCTATCGCACGATCCTGAGAAAAGATTATTAATAAAACTATCAACCTTAAACATTATGAAGAAAAAGATAGAATTTTTAATTTATTTCAAAAAAAAATTGATTAGCAAACTTTTTGCATATGAAAAAGAGGTATTTTTATGTAATTATTTAGGAAATCAATAAATTGTTGACAACAGACGTTAATAATCTTCGTCCTTAATTTTTAAAATAGTGACAAGTATTTTATTTTTAGTTCATGGAGAATCAAATTGACCATTTATTCTTATTATAATCATTTTGGCTATTTTAAAAAATTCTTTTACGTGTAATTGATGTCATTTTCTATTAGTAAGATTAGTAAGAGAAGGGATTGCGTAATATTTATACAATATCTACAGAACATAATATCTTCACAATAAAAAAAAAATCGTGTACGTAAACTTTAAATATTATTTATAATACAAGAGTTTTAAAGATTTTTTATTTTTTTTTTCAAAAAAAAAAAAATGGTTGATGCAGAAAAAATTCCCAATAAATCTGTATTTTCTATCGATGGTGAAGAATTGGATTTTGTAACTGGTATCCCTTACAAAATTTCAAACAAGAAAAATTATATAGATAATTGGGATGGCGATCATGGTTCACAACCTTGCCTTTCTTCTGAAAATCATCCTCCAGATCATCCCAAATATTTACGACAGTTATGGGTCTTTAAAGAATCTTCACATTCAAGAAAATATAAAATATTATCTATTGGAAACAGAAATTATTTAGATAGTTGGGGAGGTCGTAATGAAGCGAAACTATATATGAATTCGACTAATTATCCTTCACAAAATCCCTGTTATTTAAGGCAACTGTGGTCATTTCATTCTACAAATAATTGGTTATTTCATTCGAAAGAATCGCAAATACAGATACATAATGAAAATAATAATTGTTTTTTGGATACTTGGGGTAAAAGCTCCTATATTTATTTCTGTTCTAATTTTAACTCGCCGTTTTCTGAAAATTTTTCAAATCAAGTATGGAAGTTTATCCGAACTTCTGATTACGAATTAAATGCCGCGATTAGCAACTTTAATTTTTCTTCAGATACCAAATGCGTGCAAATTACAAAAAACATTCGTAAAGATACTCTGGATAATCTAGCATCTTCAGCAAAACTTACCACCACTTTTAATTTACAAGAAGAATTCACTAATACATATAAATTTAGATTTAATGAATCTCTCGATTTTATTTCAGAAACTAAATTAATTTTTGTTATTCCTTTTATGGATATTGAAAAGGAATTAAATTTTAAATATAGTTTTGAAGCTAATAAACCAATTACAACCATAACAAAAGAAACGTGTACTATAAACAAAACAGTTGAAGTACCACCTAAATCACGTGTGGAAATTACAGATTTTGCTGATTTTAGGAAATCTGTTGAAATGACTTTTAAAGCTACTGTAGAGGTAACAGCCACAGGTGATCGTTACAAAAATGATGGTTCAATAATCAAAAATACTAAAGTTGATGCAGATGCTGTAAATTTATTTTTGAAGGAAAATAATTTTCAAGGAAAAATAATCAGTTCTGAAGGGAATTCTGTTATAGCTGAAGTACATGGCACATTCAGTGGCTCATACGTTACAAAGACACATAGAAAATTAGAAGACGTAAATATTTAACAATAATATTTATAATTTTTTTTTTTTTTTTATAAATTGAAAATAATTTTATTTTTTTTATTTTCGAAGATAAAGGGGTTTGGGAGGTAACAATGGTTTATCATTATTATTAATACTATTGTTATCGCTAAATGGATCATTATTAATATTATAAATATCTCTAAATGGATCATTCTCATTATCAATACTATTGATATCTCTAAATGGATTATTATTATCTTCCTCATTATAATTATAATAATTATCATTATCATTTTGATTGTTTTCATTATAATTAGTATTATCCTCGTTATTATCATAATTATTATTATCATTTCGAGTATTATTATTTCTTTCTCGTGATAATTTACGGGAATTCATTTTCCTCTTTTTAATTTTTTTAATTGATCCAAAATTAATTGATTTCATTTTCCGTAATATTATTGTCATACTTTTCTTTATCGAATTAATGATCTTTTTGATTTTTGTAATTCCTTCTTCTTTTCCTTTTTCTTCCTTTTTTCCTTCTTTAGCATTAATAAATTCTCTGGTAATTTGTTTGTTGTTTTTGATGTTATTCTTTCCATTCTTTTTATTCTTTCTATTCTTTCTACTACATAAAAACCAAATAATTCTTATTATTCCCATTAATATCACAATTCCATAAATACTAATCATTATCCAAAAAATAAATAATTCATCTCTTAAATTTTTTTCATAAATATCAAATAAATGACCAATATCACCTCCCGTACTAATACCACCTGATTCATTATCCCCCACTAATTTAGTGGTTGCTTCATCAACAAATCCTTTAATTAGATTTGAACTCACTAATAATTTATCGTTACTTACTCTAGGCAATCCAAGAGATGCATTGTCTTGAATAAAAGTTAATACCTTTTGAACAATTTTGATTTTTGTCAAAATCAAACAATTAAGCAATTCTTGTATTGATGTAGCTAATAAAGGAATTCCTCCAAATACATTATTAACTAATCCCGTGATTTCATCCACTGCGGTATTTATTGTATCATTTAGGGTATTAGTAGTAATATTAGCCCAACCAAATACATTATCATTAACATTATTCTCAAAATTTGAAATTATTAAATTACTTTCACTAGAATATTTTTGTGAAGTTGAATTCATTTGAGAATTTACTAAATCCATTACCGAATTACCAAATGAAGTTACAAAATCTTTCGTAACTTGTTGATAATCGTTTCGAACTGTTTGAAGAATCCAAAGTTGAATATAAATTCCAAGTACTCCGGCTAATCCTATAATTAAAATAACTATGGCTGATCTATGAAGAATATAATCCCAAAACCATCGATATAAATTTCGATTTTCTAATTTTTTAAAATATTTTGAAGTTTTTAAGATTTGAAATGAAATGAATGGATATTCTACGCTTTTTATTATTGTCATCATTGTTTCTTTGTTGGATTCTTTGTTGAATTCTTTTTTGCCAAAAGAAGAAAAAAAATCAGAATATTCTTCACTATCAAATTTATTTATAATTCTTTTAAATTTACGATGAGAAATCCAAGTAATTATAGCATTCCCTATAATCATTAATATACCAACAATTATTATTATGGTAATTCCAATATATGCAGCTTTAATAAGATCATTAGTTAAATTATCAAGAAATGTTAAATCTAAACTTTGTTGACAAAAAGTTATATTATTTTTTTGTGGTTGAGGTAAAACACTTTCATTAAATTTAAGATCTGATAATTTATTTTGAATTTCGGTACGTAATTTATCAAATGGTATTGAAATTAAATCATTTAATTTAGATTTTATTCCTGTTATACTATTATTCGGTGAATTAAGTGTTTCGTTTAATGAATCTAATCCCGTGATAATATTCTTTGAAGGAAGTTGAAATGTACTTAATGGATTAGCTGAATTTACAGCTATGACTGGTATATGAATATTTTCAGTTTTCGGTATTTTTTCAATATCACTTTGAATTTTTTTCAGAACTTCATTTATATCTATAATTTCTTTATCAATGTTTGTTTTAATTATTCCAATTTGGTCAGTAGCAAAACTTTGTAATACTTTAATACTTTCGAACATGACACTCATTGAAGCATTAGTTACTAATTTTAATAAACATAAATAAGTACCTAAATAAGTTTGAATGAACCAACTAATAATTCCTTCTAGAGCTGTTAAGCTCAATTGAAGAGAGTTTGTAAATCCTTTTATGGTTAAATTTATTACTTCAACATTTGCCTTATTAAATCCATTCGCCATATAATGTGGTAAAGATGTTACAGTTGAAGTTGCTAATTCAAGTGCATTGCACGATTCAATAGCTTTAGATTTAACATCATCTACTAAAGGTTGAATTGATCCCATTGCTTTAAGGAGACGAACGACTACAATAAATAAAGCCACTATTGGATAAGTGATCCATGCTAATGATAATTTTGCACGAAGTCCTATATACGGTTTGATATCACAAGGGTAATAAGGTGATCTTGGAATTTCATCTAATATAAATGTAATTTTATTAATAACGCAACGAATGTGATAAAAGATAATGAATATTGCTTAAAATTGTTTTGTAAATACCTGAAGGTTCTTCATTTTCATCTTCTTTATTATTAAGAGTTATAGTTGGTCTTTGTCGAAATCCTTCTTCTGCCATTAAACTTGGAGATTGTATGGAAAAACTTGTAGACAACGCACCAGGCGATGATATGGTTTTTACAAGCATATTTATTATTATTATTTTTTTATTTTTTTTTTATTATTATTACTTTTATTCTATCAAAGAATGATTTTTGTTTTTATTTTTACTGAATAAATGTTAAATTTACCAGCAATTTTTTATTTTTTTAATTGAATTTCTTAGGTTTTTAAATACAAAAGTCTAAAATATTTTATTCCTAATTTGGACAATAAAATTAATGCAAATTGTCGTTGTTGTTGCATCATAAAAATGTTTGAAGATTTCTTTCAATTAAAATAGATTCCCTTGTTTAAGATTTCTGTAACCTTTGTTCTAATGAATAAAACTCTATTACTTTGGTTCGAGAATACTGAACACAATTATGTAATAATATCTTTACAAGGTTATTTTTATGGTATTGTACTAAAAACAAAAAATAGAGAATCATCTGACCTGTATCACAGAAAAAAATTTTTAAGATGCAAAATTAAAATAAATATAATCAAAATCGTCTTTGTTTATTAGCATATGAAATAACGCCTATATTAGGACCTATCATTATAACAAGTCCTGTTGGGAATAGACACCCTCGCTGATTCTTTTTAGCATGTTATCAAAGAAGAATATTGCGAGTCCCATTAGTATCCCTGTCAAGCTTAGTTTTGCATTGGGAGCAGCAAAACTCCTTGGATCCACCCAGTTTTTTGTGAATATAACCACAGGATTCACAAGTTTTGCTTGTATATTCTTCTGTGCAAAGAACTATTTGACACTCTGTATGCTCACGTGCCTTATTGATCAAAAGCGAAAATGTGACCATGTACAGTACACATATCTCAGGACCATGACCACGTCTAATCATTCCTTGAGTGCGAAATTCTGGTAATAATATAATTCTCACAAATGACAAATCAACGAAATCTATACGTAATTAAAGTAATTAATATAGTTAATTAATTTGTTAATTATAAATAATATATTAAATGTTGAATTATAAATTAATTTCCCATGAATACTATCGTGTTTGCTTTGAAGTTTATCATATTTTATGACATAGTCGATAAATTTGACAAATATCATTTTTTCCCCACTCAATGGAAGCATAAATGTAGAATGCCTGGATCTTTCCTATAAATTATTAAAAAAAAATTAATTATATTAAAATTTTAATATTTATTTATTAATATAAAAGTATAAAATCATTTAATATGAACTCAACAATATAGGCAATATAAACATATAATAAAAACCTTTTCCTGTGTTTCTGAAAATAAAGGTATACACAAATAAAATTCCCCAAGGTGATTCATAACAAGATGACTATCATATCCAAGTTCTTCTGGGAGAGGTTCTGCTAACTTCAATTTATTAAAAAAAAAGAATATTCACCACTAGTTCCAAGTGCTAAAATGTATTACAATTAATTGTCAAAAATTCTTTTTAGAATGGAACTTCATTTTAAATTTTTATTGGAAGTAAAATTGGAAGAATATCCTTTAAGTAGGTTATTCATATCCTCATCTCATATAGCATAAGGTGTTTCAATAACCCACTTAAGTTTGCATCGTTTTTCATTTCTTTTTTTGGAGCCCTTGAACCTTTTGGATAATGTATTTTCTCCTTTTACCTGAATATAGTCCATTATGTCACACCACAAACACCGTGATGATTGTAACTGCAAGTTTGCTGGTTTCGCTATTATTGGTACAAACATCTGATCTTTTCAGGTAGCCACCACTTCTTTGATTCCTCCTGTGTGAAATGTAGTATTCGTTTTTGCTAAAAGAATATGTTTTTTTGTTAAGAATATGAAATAATATAAAGTATTTGCTAAACTTTCTTTCCCTTATATTATTTTTTTCAAAAAAAAAAATGCTTCCCGTCGCGAATTTCCGTGAACCTAATTCCAAAGGGATAAGGTAAGTGTTTTACATAATTTATTTAAAAAGGAGAGAATGTAAATGAGGAGGAAGGTATGTATATTGTTTTTTTTTAAAAAAAAAAAACAAAAAATATACCTATCTACGTATACATCCACATACATCCGCGGTGTTAAAATCTTTTTTTAAATATTCTACGTTTACCTTTGTTAAATCCAAATATTTCAAACAATATCTAATACTACTATGTTGTTCGTTTATTTAATAAACATTTGTTCGATTGATTTATGATTAACAACACAATGATAAACAATGAATATTTTATAAAATTTTTAAAAACTGCAACCATTTTATTGATTTCGCTAAGCTTTAATACATATATGAATAATATCTAATATGTCTTTGTAATTATTCTTTTATAAATAAAATGCATCCGATGATACTATTATTTCAATATTTGTTAGCCATTTAATAATAAATTTTAATGAATA